CGAGACTTTAGTGTGTAGTAAATACGCTAACATAGTTTCTCAGTATTTGTTATTGTGGATGCTAATTATTTGCTGTATTTATAAAGATTTTGTTCGATAACTGAAGGCCTTTCCGCCGTCCTTCTGTCATTTTTGTGCCTATGAAATGTCCCAGGGGAGGGGGCATTTGATCACCTGATTGGACCCTAGTGTGGGGCATTTGAACGGCATTTTGGCCAGGGTAGGGGGGGAATTTGAACAATAATGTTCGAAAAAGTCAAATGCCCGGGGGGGATGTCGAAGCTTCGATTTGACCGATACATTAGCACTGCAGGAACACCTTCTCGTAGTTAAATTTTATTTCATTTCTGTAATTTAGTCTAGATTCTACCTTGCCAAAGAGTTTCTTTTTACTTTTAGTCCCCTCTTTTCTTGCAGGTGTTTAACATCTGAATTTACCGGAGTAGTCTACATTCTTTGCTACCTTTTTTTTAATACAGTAAAACTGAATATTTCCCCTCTAGAGTGCTAGAAGAAAAATTCTAAAATGAAAAATGTCTAAAGTGTTGGAAGAAAAATGTTGATTTTACGTGAATTTTGCCTCTCATCAGTAAGACCCAAACTTTTCTCATCTCCTCGACTCCATGAGCTGGCTCTCTTTATTAAGCAATTCTTCGTATCAAAAGAACTGTCGCCTTTCCTGCACCGATCCAAGAAGGTAACACTGATAATATCTGATCTATTTGTCTGGCTACACTGTGATCGTAATGAGTTTGCAGATCCTTGATTTTTTCGCGACGTAGAGGGTGACGCTGAAATCGGAATAGCTTCGATGAAAAGTCCGCTGGGTTCTGCTTCTACCTTGCTTATTTGTGGTTCAACCGAGGCTCTTTGGTTTGTAAAACCACTGAATTGTGAACTGGATTCATCTTTAGTCCATGCGGGTCTTTTTCGCCGTTCATCTGCACGCAACTGTGGAAGAGAACTGTAGCGCGAGTAATGAATACACGGACGATTCGTTTCAACAGTTTTGCCGCTTGGGGTAAAATAACCCACCTTATGATCTGTTACCGCAATTCGTGGTATGAGCGACTCATTTTCTTGCATCTTTAAAGTCGCTTCTTTGCGATTGTTGTTTGAAGTTTCGTGTACAAAATAACCGCTCGCCACACTTGGCACCACCATAGCTTTGCCTGGATGACCTGGTTTTGGTTTTTCTCTCTGATAACCTGTACCTTGAGGTGATAAAGTGTCATTGTTTACACAAACAGGTGAACTCTTACACCCTTTGGAAAGCTTTTGTAAAGTCAAATCAAACAACTTTCGTCCTCTACGTAACCTGTCCGACTTTTCTGATGAAGTTTCGAATTGTTCCGAAGACTTCCGAGCGCCATGATTGCCATTTTTAATCACTCTTCCTTGGCCATTAACTTTCGAGTGAGCCTTGCAGTTCTCGTTGCTCTGTTTTCTCTTTCGTTTGTCACATTGCAGATTATTTCCATCGTCTAGGTAATTCAATTTTGATCCTTTACGGACAAGGGCAAACAATAAGCCCTTTGCCATATCAGAGTGCCAAGCCCAGAAAAACTGTTCAACTGACTTTTAAAAAACACAGCAAACAACTTTCCGATATTTCATATCTTAAGGAGTAACTTTAAGTTATTGTAGCTGCGTAGCTATGCAAATTTCTCGCCACACTTAGCATGTTTATATGATGCAAGGCGATGCAGTAATGAATGTAATTGTCCTGTTCTCGCTAGGCAATTATTTCTGAACAAAAGCTGGCCGTCAAACAATTAAAGAATCATAATTTTACGGAGGCATACTGTAAAGGTTAACGTCAACACTTCCCATTCTGTGTAAAAATCATTTGTATTTAATCGCAACAGAGACAGCGGCATATCATGTATTTCAGTCCTTCATGATAATCCTCTTAGTTAACAAGTACTTGGGAAATACACTTACGTACGAACGGTATGACGTTCGTTTTCGAAAGTGGTGGTCTAATATCGGACGATGACTCATTTGTTTTGCTCGGCAAGTGTTCACAAGAGGGATTTTGTTGAGGGAAGGAGAAGGGCCAAAAAAATGTCTTTTCTCGCTCCTCAGCTGGTAAGCAAATTTGGAAACTGCGCATTTTGGGAGTAGTTTAAAAACTTGCAGACGATTTTGTAAAAATTTGCCTGAAAAATAGCCAGCGAACATTGCGAGTACAAATTGTTGCGGCAATTAAATTCTGCGGTTTCCTAAACGGTTGCTAGAATAACATTTTTGTCCGCAAATACTCCTCTGGTTCTTTAAGCCGGGTAAGATATGAGGGTTTTTTCTCGCCCGTGTTGAAAAGGCTTCATTACACCTGAACACTGTTTATACTATCACCGAATTCTTAATTGCCTTTCCTCTTGACCGTTTTTTGTACAGGTATTCAACACTTGAAACTAAGGGTTAATTCTTTGCTGTTGAATTGTTTTATCTTGTTTACTCTGTCCTTCTCTGCGTGACGAATAGTGAATCTTTGTAATTCTGTCTAAATTCACCATTCTTTACATATTACGAGTTATTCTCTGCAAGTTGTAAAAAAAAACTTGATAGGCTTATATGAAACGATATCAGAAGCGTTCTGTTGGACAATGCCATTTCCTTTTCTTAAAAGCGCCACCACAAGGCAATATCACCGACAAAAAAATTGTTTTCGAGACGTTGTTTCTACTATAGTTGATGACTTGTAGAGGTAGCGAAGTATAACGTTTTAACTAATAAGCAAGAGATATTACGGATCAGTATATACAACCCTTAATTGTGTTGACGACTTAAATCTCAGCGCCCGCACCAACTTAATTGCAGGACATTCAGGCTATGTTCACCCTGTACTATACTGGATTGCTTTTGCGCCGGCACGAAAACAATGCCGGATAGGGCTTCTGGTCACGCGTAAGAACGGTGATTTCGGCGCGATTTCTGTAGTCTGCGAGCGAGCTCTTCTATTTGGGCGAGTGAAACGAGTCTCGAAAGAACGCGCGAGCAAGCGGCGAAGCCCAAATAGGAGAGCTTGCTCGCAGGTTACGATTTCTGTAACGGAGCGAAGGTGCTCCGCACCGATCTCTAAAGTGGGGAGTTACACGTCAGAAAGGTGTTCATATCGGCGGAAAGCTTTTCGTGTCGGCACGAAAGGCTATCCGGTGTAATGTGAACATAGCCTCAAAGAGTTGACAAAGTTCTCCGTTCTCGCCTTCGAGTCACAAAGATTCAATGAAGGCTCACGAAACGCTTCTTTTTGAAACAAAACAATAGTCACAAAAATAAAGATCAAAGTCGGTTATTTTTTTTTCCCAGAAAAAAAATTGTCAGACGCAAGGTTAACTGCTATGGCGGAAGAGCTCAAAGGTTCGACGTATCGCGGCAATTGTAGTCGGCGGCTTATGTAGGCTAGTTGCTGAGCACGTTGTACGTTCTTAAGGAACCCGAAGAACACAAGAACCAACCTGTACTTGAACAAAATGTTGCTGTATGTATTCGTCTTCAAATGCGCTCACTTTATTATTTGTCAAGAAGTTCATGAAGGGCTGACACGTAGATGTTGCGGTTGAATTTTTCTTTGGTTTAAATTTTAGTTTTCTTTGCTTTTGGGAATGATAATGAATGCACATGAGCTTACAACAAAGACCTTGGAACATCAAGAGATACATGATGTATTTACTATCCCGATCTGTTTAAGAAATCAAGGCTCCAGGTTAACAAATTATGGCAAGTGTTGTTTCATGAGGTTTGTCCATATTATTATGCAATGAAAATTATAATAAATAACAGTAATGAGTTTTTGCTCGAGATTATGACCTTTTATGGTCATTGGTTTTCCCTAATTAGGCAAAAGCTACTCCAAAACGATAGAATACATTTTATTTTCAATTGAATTGCTACCATCCTTGGTAAAAACATCAATATCCACTTCACTTTATTTTGGGGTGATGTTACACGGGACGATTTGCAAGGACGATTTTAAGCGCAACTCAACCTTGTAACATTGTTGCAATATTGTTTCGAATAGCTGAAACATTGTTCCAACACTGCAACAATGTGTTCAGCAAAAAATCGTCGGTTGCAAATCGTCCCGTGTTACATCACCAGTTCACATGTTTTTGTTCTTACCCTCGGTGCCCGGCAGAGGGTTTTTTCTTTCCTTTTTCCTGATAAAATAGTACTAGAACGGACCTCTGGAGTCAGGGTACGTTGTGCTTAACTAGCTGATACATTATTTTCAATTTTTATCTCTGTCAGTGGAAGACCTTCTTCAATTAGCCTTTCAGTTTTATATTTCCAAAGTCTTGGCCGTCAGCACACAGACTGAAAAATGTCCTTTACGTAACCTAAGTTATGAGAGAAACTTTCATTTATTGAGCAAACGATTCTAGTGTTCTTATATCAAAAGATGTTATATTTCTCAGTGAGCTTCAGTTTAATTCGCCCTTCTGTATGGCCAGACAATCTTTAAAACAGTTATAGGTGACAGTACACCGTGAGACAAACGATAATAATTAGGCATTGTCCTCTGAAATATCTATATCTTCAGGACTGTAAAAGGTTGACCAGCGCCACCACGTTCCTGAGTAAGGCTCGTTCTAATCCGTGAGCGTTTTATACAAAGTACACCAAATTTTTCGCTGTCTTCATAATTCTGTTAAAGACGACACCGTTATCAAAATCTGGCTTCCGTTTCATGTATTTATTGAAAAACACGGATCAATTTTTTTAAAGTGTTAATGATCACTTAGGGGAGGAGTAGGTGGGCAGTTTCCCAGAAGCCTAAATGATCCAAAAGCACAAGAAATGAGAAACGATGTTTTCAGCCAACGACTCAGAATTCCGAAAATTCCGAATTTTCTAAACAGGACTGTAGAACCTGTGACCTTGAGGCTACTATTTCAGTCTGGGTGCTATACCGTTGAGCTACAGGAGACCCTTGCGATCTAACAAGGATAAGAGGAACTGTTATTTTGGCGCGATAACACGCTCTTATTTTGGGATTATAAGACGCCCTCTGGCAATCCTTCAAATTCATCTGGTTCTTCTCTGACTTGAGACCTTTTCCTCCTCGCTGTTCTACTCTTCTTTTCTAGCATCAGTTCTTGTATATGTTGATATATTCTAATTCCCAACATCGCACTCACGAAAAAGTTCATCGCCGACTGCCATTTGCTTATTTCTGTCACTTTATCCGCCCCAATGCGACAAGAGAGAGGCTGGACGTGTGAAATGATGAAGTAGCCAAATAAGCACGTCATGCTAAAAAGAACTTTGAGCAAGTTCTTTCGCTGCCAAAACGCCTCAGCGAGTCCTTGCACAAGAGAAAATGAAGCGGCGCAAATCCATAGACGGGTTTCTTCACCATTTGTGCAATTTACGGGACCATTTTCTTCAACGCTGTCAACAAGTCTAACAACCGCCGTCCAAAGAGTAATCAGAAAGACGGCATAGATTCCTGTAGGTAGCCACGGTTTGTCATCAACAGATACTTCGCTGTCTTCATCATCATGCAAATCAAGCTGGACATCAAAAATATCAGCTTGGCTGGAATTCCACTTTATTTTGTTTCTACTTCGCTTTTTGGCTTCCACAAAATCGTACGCACTCCTTGATCCCGAATGCGCAGGAATACTGTCTAACGTTCTTAAAAATCCTTCGCCATCCCCATTACTTAGAGTCCCTCCGTAGCTAACCGTTTTTTGGGCTGTTGGGTGTCTGGTTCGGTTTACTGGTTCGAGGTGCCGCGAAGGGCGGATATTTCCATTGACTTTCCTGTGCCTTCTGGGAGAAGTGAAAACACTGGCAGCCGCCATGGCCGTGACATGATGATTCGATACTCGACCCGTAGGAGTGGACCTCCGGCGGGTCACTCGTCCCGCAGTCTTATTATCCCTACCTACTGATAATTGAGCAGGAGACGACAGTTGTCGAACTGGAGTTGACGCACGGCTTGAAATACGTCGCGAATGACTAGGAGACACGGAACAGTTTGGCATAAAACGTGCAGGAGATGGAGCACGACGAGCTTCTGACTTTGACTGATTTGGCATATGAAAAGTTGGTGATGGCGACGAGGTTCGACTTTGCATCATGTGTGTGGGTGAAGCCGCGCGGCTGGTAGACACGTGACGAATTAAACGTGGAGTACTTCCGGTACTATTTCTTCGCTGAAGCTGGTTTATTAGTCCTGGATTAGACTTATCCCGCGACGTGTTTTCTCCATGAATCTCGGCAGTAGTATTTTGAACAATGAGGTCACGTGAGAAATTAAGCCCTGTATTCCCAATTTCTTGCATCGTAGCTGCTGAAAGAAAATTTATGTCATGGTTAAAAATACGACAACATAATTTATCTGTAGCTATCTTGAAGGGTGCGAATTATACCCAGCGGCGCATATGTTGTGGTTCAGTTCAATCCTTACTATATAATGTTTTAGGGGTTTTAACGAAACTTATCACAGAGAAAGAAATTCGTGTCTTCTTGTTTTGGAAGAAGCTATTTAATTTTTTTTGTGCAGAAAAATCGATTTTGTCGAGAACTTTAAACAGCAAATATTGTTGGCGGTACTGAGATAATAACATTATCTAAAATATAAGAATGACTGGTTGGCTCCGAATTCAATTAAGCTCATAAAATAGCAACAACAATTCAACAGCAGAAACAGATTTTAATCCTGTACACTGAGCTATTAGATAGTTTTGTCAACATCTAATCGATTAAGGATCTAAATGAAGTGTTTTGCGTAGAATTTTAAACCGTTTAAAATTGTAGATATTAAATTCATAGATCGATCTACATTGTACCGACGATAGGAAATAACGCGACCTAAAGCATCGCTCGATGAATCGCGGTTTCGACGCACGTGTCTTCTTTATCCTTTTTTTAATTTTCCGCTAATATATTGAGTTTTTATTAGCTTCGAGCTTCACTAACTAATGCTATGCTTAATATGTAACAGGTTACGTTTAGCAAAATTGTGCTCGGTCCTTTGATTCAGTATCGCTTTTGACATAGAGGGTTTTCACCTTTTGCCCGATATATATGAAACCCTTTATTAAAATTTCCAAATATAGATGGTTCCATATAAGAAAAGTGGAAGTAAAAACTGATGCAAATAATCAATAACTACAGAAACCGCAAACTAGGATAAATATAGTTCAACTAAGAATTAAATCTCAGTGCGACATCTAGGATTCAGGTAATACGTCTGTGAACTTCCACAGTTGATGGATATGATCTGAAATATTATTTGAGAAACTTACATCAGCTGTCTCTACCTTACAACATTCTGTTATTTGTTCCCCACCGTTTCGTTTATGCAAAAAAGCACCATATAAGATTAACAGTTTTACTTTAACTATCCAATGTGCCCTACAAAGCAACTTTTACTTAACTTTCGGTTTAGCAATTGCGACCTTGTCTTGAACGAATTGAAGTATTCTCCTGCAGCTTTAATACTTTTTATGCTTTATTGCATAACATGTATTCGTTGTTTCCAACTAAACAATGAGCTAGTTTTTTTCTAATCGGAGAAAATGTTAAAGTTGTATGCACTTACGAAGTTTTTTTTCAACACTGCGTTAGTTAAGGCTGTGAATCAATGTTCCACTACTGTATATATATCTTATGTACCTCATTCTTCGGAAAGCGATCACTGAGCGACAAAAGTTGGGTTCACGAATGTATATGGTTGACCACGAGCATCGAGCGGTAATAATCGATTGATTTTTCATAATCGTACCTTCCTTTCTTGATTCAAAGTCGTCTTGAAGACTCTCGCTGATGTCAGTTACGTGCGTTCCGGAGTCAGAATCTGCCATTGATATTTTCCTATTGTCCGTAAAACATGACATTAAAATACCTTTTACTCATTTAGAAAACTCTCTAAACGATCATAGATTTTCGTGGTCATTTACTTCAAAATAACCGTACTGTGGGCTATCTTAACAGGAATTACGCAGAAGGCTTACCTTATTGGCTATCTGATTGGTTGATTACGATAAAGTGTTTCCCTTCACACTGCGGATAAGACTCGGTGCGGCTAATTATTGGTTAATGAGTTTTGTCGTTTTAGTATTATCTAAAAACCTTTTCTTTCAGCTTGTATTCACTGAATTATTTAATAAGAAGTGTTCGGAACTATGAAGTAATTAGGAAATGAAGTTTTTTTCGGAATAGTTTTGTAGGATAAAGAATTTAATTGTGCCTGCAAACATCGGTATTCCTTATCTCTTTATCCAAAATTAATTTCCAATGTTTCACTTTGCTTTTATTTTTTTATCGTTTAAACTTTTTGAGTGTCAATTTAGGCTCAGAAGCGGTAACGTTCGATCCAAAAAGTTTAAAAAGAGCGAAGTAAGCCGGTAGTTTTCACAATGGCTAACAGCAGGTTTTGACAAAACAGAAAAAAAAACGAAAACAAAAAGCTCAGCGCCCGAGTACTGTCGATTATAATGAAATGTATAGTAATAAACTCTTGTGTAATACTCTTTGGAATTACTTATAAAGACCTCATCTGACTCATCTGCATGGATTCATTTGCCACCATCCGTTTCCTTATAGACAGGTATTTTAAATAGAAGTCGAAACTCATCTCGCGATTTCTTTGTTTTCGCCGATATTTTATTCTCTGAGACTGGTTTTAAGGCAATTTTATTCTCAGCCTCGTTTTCATATTGGCAATTTCAGGGCATGCGCAGATCTCGAGTCCAAAGAACTAACCAGCTTATATCCATATCGCAAATTATTGTTACATAGTTATGCTTGTAGTAATCGATGCAAAGTTTCACCCTTATGAAAGAATTAGCAAATTAGCTACTTTTTGGACGATAGCAGCAACGCTATATAGCTTAGCGTGCGGTTAGGAAACCTTGTGCCATTTTCTAAATAACAAGAAGTATAAAACTAACCATGATTAGCCAGATTAGCTCACACGAGTTTTCCGGCTCCTTTTGGGAGACTCCCTCTGGTGAGAAACAACATAAAAGTGGAAAAAGCGCGTGGAGAGAAGGTTTATGCAGCGGCACAAAGAGGCTGTGTGGAGGAAGGAGGAGGGTATCTAGCCCGGGACCAGTTTTCGTAGAGAATAAAGCCAAAAAAAGGTGAAACTGAAAAATCGCCGAGCAAAGCTAGCCGAGTTGTGGATTGGGCCGGGGAGGAGAAAGGATAGCGGAGCCTGGAGACATGCCTTTGATGCCGCCGTTCCAGATACCACATTATGATATCAGTCATGTTCTGATTGATCAAGTGTCTCAATGCAACCTTCGCCTTTCCCCCCTCTTCGGAGCCTGGCTAGAGGGTACAAGGCGCTTGGTACTGGTTGTCCGTCTTTAACCCTTATTGTGATTAGCCACAGTGACTGCATTTACTGCTTTGGTCTCAGATGGCATTGGTTCAGAACCGGCTCTAATGAAAATATCAGTATCATGCTGAGAGTTTCGGTGTGAAAGTATGTGCTTGCCTAACGAACATAGAAACGGTTACATGTAATGATCTTCTATGGAGCCTTAATAACTACGAGTAATAATTACAAGTGAGATTTGCGTCCGACAGAGAAGGGGGTTGAGGAAGTGATAGATGCCAATTCCCGGCCAAGAGAAAGGCCGCCTAAAAAATGTTGTCAGGGGCAGCTAAGGTTAGCGTCAGAAAGATTACGTCTTCTCGAGACGTAAGTACCGGGAATGGGATTGTAATAATCAGTGATTTATCGTAATAATATAAAAGGTCAGAGAAAGATTGTAAGCCGCTTCAAACAGACCTGCCACATTTGGCTACATTCAACGTAACTGGTCAGTAGGTAGGTACGAGGTCAAATCTGGTATAAACCAATGAAGGCTATGTTCATACCGAATTGTAGCTTTTGCGCAAGCGCGCCATACAGGATAGGGCTTCCGTTCACACATAAAAAAGGTGATTTTTGGCGCGAATTCTGTAATGAAGCGAGCGCTGCGCCGCACCATGGACACATGGCCTTGCTCTTAAAGCCTCGTGTGCCACGTGGCCAGCGCCGGTCCAGTCACGTTTATTTATGTTTTACCAAGCTTTACCAAATACCTAAAATGGCGGCTTTCCAGTCTTAAATATATATATATGTACTGTGTATATTTAACCTCTAATTTGCACAATTCGTCCATTAAGACAAAATGTTTTTCGAGGCAAAACAATTGACATTGAACTTGACTTTGCGTTTCATACCAGCAATAGCAAAATAATGACCTTGACAGTTTAAATTATTCTTCGACCGTCGTGAGAAAAGTAAATCTTTTCGCGACCAGAGAGTCTTTCAATGATGTTCGCAAATAAAAAAAATGGTAAAAAAAAAAATAGCGAACGACGATCAAGGTGACGTCATTTTACCGAAGAACAGCACATTTCATCATATTTCATATTTGATAGTGGTGATATTATTCTCTAGCCTTTTCATCGTCATTAACGTCATGCTCAGTGTGAAAGCTAAGCTTTTTACAGTTCACTAGTATTAACCAATTTTTCTAGAAGTTTGCCTCGTAATATTTTATCGTGAATTTTTTCGGAACCCCGCAGATGAGACTTTACTTGTACATCTCAGCTGTGGTTATTTTATAGCCTCCCAGGGAGTGCTTGGTTCTTGGGGGTGGGGTGTACCAGTGTTTAAACCTTCTAAAATCGCACTGTTCAGTCAAATTTGTGAGCCGTAAGTTTCTGCAGTGTGTGGCTCAGTTTTGGTATCCGAGGGTGGTATGTGTCTTTGGTTACTGATCAGAAAAGCGTATTAGGAAAATGATAATTATGATCAATGTGGAATCCAGACGATCTGGATGGATGGTTGAATGCATGGAATCTCGTTAATTGCATAAACTAAGTAATACTCCTAATAGTTCAATTAAACAAAAACGGAACCCCGCAGATGAGACTTTACTTGTACATCTCAGCTGTGGTTATTTTATAGCCTCCCAGGGAGTGCTTGGTTCTTGGGGGTGGGGTGTACCAGTGTTTAAACCTTCTAAAATCGCACTGTTCAGTCAAATTTGTGAGCCGTAAGTTTCTGCAGTGTGTGGCTCAGTTTTGGTATCCGAGGGTGGTATGTGTCTTTGGTTACTGATCAGAAAAGCGTATTAGGAAAATGATAATTATGATCAATGTGGAATCCAGACGATCTGGATGGATGGTTGAATGCATGGAATCTCGTTAATTGCATAAACTAAGTAATACTCCTAATAGTTCAATTAAACAAATGAAATGAATCACCATGAGTCTGGGTCATCCACCAGCCTAGCGATAAATCACTTTGATTTCTGTTTATTATTTTCATCTACAATAGAAACCGCACAATACCTGCCGCATATTTGACATATTGAAAATAATTAAATGTCTAAACATACGCAGATTAACTTTTTAAAAAGGCTTTAGATTTGATTCGTACAGTCGGTAACTCTTGTGCCAATGTACTATTTAAGTTAGATTTGAACGTTACGGTCTGTACGCCATAAATGAAAAATAAAAAAGAAAAGAAAAACCTGTTAAGGTTATATAATGGTGGATTCATTTGCCTACATGCGTTTTCCCCATACGCATTTGAATGTCGCATTTACCAGTTGAAATTCTCTTTTGTTTTTAAGCTTAAAAACAGTTTAAAAATTCCAACGGGTAAGGCGACGGCCATACGCACATGTTGCAAACGAATCATGCACTCTTGTACGGACGCGAAAGCCACAGGCTAATTACAACAGGCGTTATTAAGCTTCCATTCGCGAGCCGAAACACGCCGAGCGCTCCCAATAACGCCCGTTGTGCAGGCTACGAGATGGGGTCACAGAAGCCATGAAGTATGTGACTGTCCCTGCTCTGACGAATCTTCTCGAGTTTTATTGTGTAGTATAGAGTGGTTTACAATTTTGAGTCTGTGAATGAAGACCTAAAAGAGTGAACGTTCAAATCACATTTTTTGAGTGTAGTCAGAATTTTCTGTGGTTACCGTGGTATTTAAATTCTATGCTCTGTGATTGGCTCTAGCAGTTATTGGGGACTCGGTCGATCGAATCCTGTAATGCTGTGTCCGGTTTTAAATAGGAACTCTGGTTTCCGCATCTAGATCCTCTAACATTATATCAATTGTAGTTTTGTTTTTGTTTCAAGTCATTGTAAAGGTGTTATCCTTTTAAGTCAAACCCAGAAAATAGTTATAACATCAGAAAATGCCTCTACCTACCTATTTTACTTAAGCGAATTAACCTTACGTGAGTTAGACCAGTTCTAAAATTTTACACACGTCTGTATTCCACCACGCACTTCCTGCATACCACAAAAAGAATATCGGGTAGGGCTCTCGGCACTCCTGCTTCACTCATGAATGGAATGAGTGGAGCGAAGCTACGTCGTGCGGATCTTGAAGGTGGATCGTCACATATCGAATCCACTCTTTGTTGCAGTGTAAACAGGCGTTAATACTATACCGAATAGTTTTTCATGTCGACATGTAGACATGGCCTTAGCGACAACATAGAGCGCCTTTTGAAAGATTAAGCCATAGATTAAAAGGACAGTAGCATGTTCCAGTCTAATTGCTCTTGGAAATCCTTGGAAAGTTTAATAAAAACAGTTAAGTTGCAATGAAAGTGGCATTTTTTATCAGTTTGGAGTGTACAAGATGTAAACAAAGCAATTATGAAAATTTGCGTGGAGGAGTAAGTCCTTCCCCAACCGAGCAGGTGAACTTTATAAAGGAACTACTTTTAAGAGAACCGACAAGCTATTCACAACGTGTAAAATTTAATAAACCGTGGAAAGTAATTGACTTAACAAAACAACAACGTTAATTAAGAATAAGGTTTCCTTCGCAGATAAGGTCGATTGCAAGGTACGACTAATGAATCTTACCCAAGAAGGTGTTGATGAGATCTTTCTTTAATTCTCACATGTTTAGGCTTTGAAGGGCCGTTTATCTGAGGAACTAAAGCGATGGCTTCTGATAAGCCCGACTTAAGTGCGGACTCGATGTCTCTGAATATCAAAAAGAAGTGTTTCGAATGTCGCCATTGCCGGGCTTACTCTCTTCGCTGAAAAGTAAGCTGGTGTCTGAGTTTAAAAATTGAGCATTTTTAGCCAGGAGGAAAGGTTTTCCTCTGACTTGTTTTTCAAAAACGTTGCCGCTCGTACCTAAGCATTCACTAGTGAGCGGTTAATGATTTCAGTACTAGCCCCAACGAATCTGGAAATAGTTTTTAGAACCAGTCAGAGTCAAACACTTCTATATGATGTTGCCTATACTTAATGATCTCCTTTGGTAAAATTTCCTGCTTTACAGATAAAAGCAATTTATACGCAATCAAATTATCTGTCATTGAAATTACATCACGGAACACGCACGGATAGTCAGAGGAAAGAACTTTAAAATGGTAAAATGATAACAGTAAATTCGAGCATTCAAAATTTATTCAGATGACATGATGATTACGACAACTCATGCGTGGCTTAAGGATAAAATGGCTTAAGGATCAAATGGACGGTGTCTTAGGCAATTTTTCCTTTGGTATTTACAGTTCTGTGAATACCGTGTTTCTTAATATTTTTTGTGAGTTTTTTTTCATCTATGAACCACCCACAGTGAAATTTGCCATAAGCGTACAAGTGTGATGCATTCATTTAATCGGTCAATTTTACTCTAGGAATAACCTAAAAGCAAAAAATTTTTCCTTATTGGTGGACGACGGGTTTCGAAACAAGACGTTCAGCATGGTTAGCTTTTATTGCATGCACCTTGATTGCTATCATTTCCCTTAAGGCCTTGCTACAGCCAATAAGCGCTTCCACATTTCCATGACAAATAGCTCCAGCTTCAAAAGAAGTGGTGTAAACAAAGTGCGAATGCCACACGATCTCTATACCGCAGAGCAAGGGAACAGGCTGTACTGAGGCGAAGAGGCTAAGACAAGTACCCCCAAAATGATGTTTGTATCTGAACTCAAGAGTGTCCATTTCTGGGCCAGCGCCTTAGTAGAGCTGCTAGCAACCTTCTTTTTCATCTTTTTAACCACTGGCACGACGATCACATGGAATCCGAGCCATCCACCCTCGACAGAGTTGATATCTTTGTCGTTTGGCTTCAGTATCGCCACCCTCGCCATGTGTAGCTCGCACTTAAGCGGTGGACATATCAACCCCGCCGTCACTATCGCTATGATGGCACTCAGAAAAGTGAATATCTTGCGAGGAGTAACTTACATAATTTTTCAACTGGCAGGAGGTGAGATCGTGTTAAAATTTCAGTCTGGTAATGTTAAAAAGTATCGAGTCATTATGTAAACAAACATATTGGTTCCTGGATTGTTTTAATAACTGAAGGACACGCTACCATCTTGAGATCCCAGTAATGTAATTTCTTATAGTGGTTCTGGGTCTATCTTTCAAAGATGATGATTTAATATTTTATCCGGTGTCTTTGTAGTACTGTAAATAGCTTTTTCCCCACTGAAGGTGCGTCAGTTCTCTGGTGTATTAACAAACATTATCAATAACACTTTGGTCAGTAATTATGTTGCGCCAAATGTAGACGGTATAAAGCTCGTGCCACATGTTTTTCTTTATTATTTTATTTTACCTGTGTCCTCACGCTCACTGATTGCCTCAGGCAATTCGTGGTACGTGCTCTACATACATAAACAAGAATAATTGTCATTTTAGTTCCAGTGAGAACTATAATTCCTTATAAGCAGAAATATAACCAAACAATACAAAGCTAAAACTTAAGTATCATCTGCAAACGTAAACATGAAACCCTTCAGTATTTGTAGTTTGACAACTGATATAAGTTTATGATCCGGCCATCGTTCTAGATCCTTCTGCTAAAATAGACATGTTTTAATATTACCCGCCCTTTGAAAAAAATTGAGAAACAAGACGTGTTTTTAGCCGCCGGCAGCAAATGGAGAGTCATATTTAAGATCGCAGTTTTAACTACACCACCAAGGTTAACTTTAGGGTGGGGCATTTTGAAACCCAAGCAACTATCGTACACAACATTATTTTGAAGAATGCCTAGAATTTCTGCTACGAAATGTCTCTTTGTACATATTTGGCAACCACAGTCATCCTTAAAGAGCAAAATAGTTTTTCAAGAGCTCTTATTGTTTTGACGTCAGCAGAGAGTGTATTTTTCAAAAGAAATGCTTACTGTGTTACTTTGCGTCTTACACACACCCTAATCATATCGACCTCACGAAAATTGCCAGTTTACAACATAATACGCAGTGATTTTGCGTGGAAAATATAGTTTTGAATAATCGGTTATTATACCTTGAACTCTTTCTCAGTAATTGCACGAAAACAAAAGTACCCACTATGTTCAGGTTCAATGCCTCTGCTCGTCTTCGATTATCCTGACGGGACTGACGTAAGTCAAATCAAGCTATTTAACTTCCTGCATGAGAAATTACGCTTATGCCACGCGATTGATATTCGACAGAAGAAATCTCGACTTCATTTCGAATGATCGTAAGAGTGATTTTTCATGACCAAATAGGCATGTTCTCAGCTGAGAATAAAAGGTCGAGAAAGGCTTTTGTTTCCATTCATTTCACTACATCCATTTTAGGCTTAACCCATGTTCAAGGCGGGTGGTCATTTACAATCATTCATCCTGACCATCAACCTGACCTATTCCAGATAAACAGCGTTCCTGTAGACGCAAATTTTTTCGAGCGGATTTCATGGAAATTTGGCTTTTAACCGCAAAGGTTTTCAACAAAGTCCACTTTAGGGGGGGTACTTTTTCGCAAGTAATTAACCAAATGAGTACCAAATGAATGTAAGTACGTGAAATATTGTCGAAGAGTCAAGGATACTAGATAATGACAAAACGATAGAGGTTATCCTTTCTCGCAATCTTGTATATTCATAAGGTAGATTAAAATCAGTAGAGTCGCCACTTTTTGTGCAAATTCTATGGCAAGCATTTGTCTTTTTGTTTGCAGGCAATCTTTGTTCAGCTGTCGAGAGCTGACAGTCGACCACCCTCTGATCCTCTGTGCGTACCCTGAAAAACGACTAGCTAAGCCCAGCTGCAATTCATCATTTATCCTGTCTTTCCTTACTATGAGTAAAAAGAAAAGCAAAGACAAACCAAGAGACTTTCAAACAAGTCAGGCCGTTTTCTCCTCCCACTTTTCTTTGATTCATTGGACCCTCTAAAAATATGTTTATATCAGTTGAGGGCAAAGATAATTACTGTGGGTCAAAAAAACGAGTGGCTCCATTCTATCACTAGTGAAAAGTTTCAGCTGCCCCGCGCATTATTGTGAGAGACTCTAATGCTCTCACATGGGCTCCTGTCTCTCAACAATGTGAGAAATGCTTCGTAATGGCATGTCTTTTCTATTTTTTTAAAATCTTTTCCATCTTCGGTTATTTTATTTTTTCATTTTATTTTATTAAAAATTATGGAAAAGGAAAAAAGGGGCTACTTGCTACTAAAATAGCTTATTTTATCTCGTACGAAAGCCTTTTTAGTCATAAAGAAGAGCCTGATGCAGATTTGTTAGACAAGGGAATTGTCACCTAAAATCAAATGGGACAAAGTCCCTTTGTCATTTCGCTCTGCTAAGTCTGATTAATATCTCTGCTAATTCTGTTTTGTCTTCGTCTTCTTGTAAACAGATGCGGATTCATCTAATTACATATCTCAGTAAATTATTAAGAATTGTAAAGGTATCTATTGTCCCAAGCCTGTCGAAACGCCTATTAAATTGACACCTGTTTCAAATGAAGTGGGTCACTGATCTAAAGACAAAATCCCGAATGCAAGTACATAACCTCAATTTCGTGTAACTTTGAAAGACTGCAAAACCAAATGCGCACTCGATGTCTTTTGATAAGGGCAAAAACTAACTCTGGTGTCCGGAAAAGTTATAATTAAAAATTTTATAGAAGAGCCTATTCATTTAAGAAGGGATGTCTTCCAATTGAGTGACTTAACGATCTTATCTATACAGTGAATGAAAAATTGCCGAAATTTTTTAAATAGTTGCCCTTTATTATATTTAAGGGTGAGAAAGTTGCTTTTTCTCTACAAAATCGGACATCCAAAACGATAATTTGAGCCTAAAAAGGCACAGTATCCAAGCAGTAATAGTTAAGAAGAGAGCGCAGAGATGGGTTGGGAGATGCAATCACTGTTGATTGGATTATAAGGTCAGTGCGCGTTACCCCTTTAGGCAAAGGATGTGAAAAGAGGACTGAAATAGCAAGGTTGTCATGGACATGAAAATTAAATTGAACAATACAGTAAACAAGAATCTTATTATATTGAGAAATATTCAGAATATTTTATTGAAAATCGAAACAATTCCTCGGATTATATAACAAAAAAACATTAATAAGTGCGCTCAACACGACAGCAAGAAGCTTGTCGGACTGGAAATGTTATTAGCAGTTTGTTTGGTGAGACTAAATGTAGATGCAACCAAATAAACTTACGTGGCAAACTTTCCAAACATTTAAAACAACATTCTGTGGGAGCAAAAAATTGCAGTAGTTTTACTAAAAAGGGAAACCGAAATATGTTTATTAGTTTAAAAAATCCCAGTCTTTGTTATATAACATAAATTCCGAAAGTGGCTAGATAGTGAGAGTGAGCTTAAAAGAAACGTTTACGTGTTTGGTGTGCACTGTTTGAGAGACAGTATTAAATTCTACTATTTTATTCACTTGTTTCTATGAGGCGCTTTTGACTTATCTGATTTCTAGTGAGTCGTTGTTACGGCTACCAAACTGGATCAACTTTTTGATCCAACCAAATTGGGTTGACTTTTCTCTCATTCAGTGGCCGAAGTGGGCTTAGATGCAATGCTGCATTATGAAAGTGGCTCCTCAAAGCTTTCAGATGGCACCCTGCACTACGCCCTGTTATCTCTTACACAAACTTGGAAATGACACCCGCACCTGTACGTTTAACTTTGCCGATTATTAACAATGTAACCACACGTTTTTACTGAACTACGAGCAGTCTCTATTTTGCGCGAAAATCAGTGTCGGCGCGTTAACGCGAGTGTGGCGCGAGCTTAGAAAAAGCTGTAAGCAAAGAGATGTGTGCATTATCGCATTACTGAGCGCGCTCTCGTTGGTTTTTCGAGCAAAAGAGAGACTGCTCGAAGTCTAGTAGCTTACCAACGCGTGCATGAAAAAACACGTGTTTGTTCGATACATGTGAGCAGGGATGGGCACGAGGGTACCGAGTAGCTGCTCATGTCCTCTGTAGTGACAATAAACGGACTTTGAACCCAACACCACGGCTATTCATAAACTTAGGAGAACAAAAAAATGCCTAGAAAGTGCTCACACTGGCAGTTTGCTTCAACTCTGCTGTATAATGTTCAGTTAGTAAGTGTAGCTGACGTGACCATCTCCAATGCCGGCAGACGTTGGGAAAGAGCTTGCTTCTATGTTAGATACGTTGCATTATAAGCAATGCGTGATTTGCAATTTTTTTTTATGAATAGCACATTGTTCGTTCCAATACAAAAAACCCATTGAATAACAGAAAATGAGGAGAATAAAGGGCCAGTCATGCAAGGAATAAAGGTTTAGCTCTGATCTACAGCGACTGTCTCATATTTTCTTTGTCGTGTCTAATCTGAATCAATTAAAAAACAAGAATAGAAAAAAAAACACAGAAAACCTATTTTTCGTTTCGGCAGTGATCCTTGAAGGTGCAGTGGATACTAATGTAGAGTGTGCCCACGGAAAGAAGAGTTATATAACAAACGACTCAAGATCGAAGCATGGAAACAATATTGCGCCGGCTTCTTTATTGTTTTAGTCCATAAATGGGCTGGGTCATCGCTGTCTAGCTCATTTTGTTTATACTGACAGTTACGCGTTCTTATTCACCATGGAGCTTGAGTACTTACCAGTGAATAACAAAATCACAGCTTTGTGTCAAAAAGTATTTGTGTCTTCCAAGTATTGTATCAATCGTTAAAAACAACCGAAATCAGCTTTGAAATACCAAGGGGCTAACAATACTACACTTGTAATCCGTTTTAGTGTTCTTCAAGTCTTTTCTATCCGTGGCTCCTTTTGTATTTGCTGTCATTTATACCTTCTGTTATGAGCCGTTATTTTAATGATTCACTCAATTTGGCAGCAGTTCGAGCTGTTTGAATTTTGATTTATTGGTCGTTGTGATTTGATATAAAAAAGACAACTCAGTATTAAGTCCCGTGCAAACGGACGCAACATTCTTTGCCAACAACTCCCAACTGTTGCGTCCATTTGCAAGTAGCCTGCGTAGCAAGCGTTTCCTCGCGAGTTCGTCGAGAAAGTTGGGACGAGAACAAAAAAAGGAATGACGGGGGAGGGGGAGGGGAATGACTCCCCTCCCCCTCCCCCTTCCACCTTTTTTTTTTGCTCCCGCTCTAACTTGCGCGCAATAACTCGATTGGAAACGCTTGCTACGCAGGCTAGTTTGCAAGTAGCTAAAAGTTTGACCGGTTTTAAACTTTGCGCAACAACTCCCAACAACACGCAACAACATGCAACAGGATGTGCAGACAGACGCAACATGTAACATCCAACAATGTTACGTCCGTTTGCACCGGGATTTAAGCTACTATTTGACAGTAACACCACATATCTACCTCTTTTCAAGGTATCGCGGGCTCAGCGGTATTGAAGTACATCACACCAGAAGAAAAGCGCGGATCCCTTGGTGCCACGGTTCCTGCTCCCGGTGTAACTGCTGGACAGGCGCTTGGTATCGAGATACTGCTTACATTCTTGTTGGTTTTTACTGTATGCGCCTCTACGGATCCCAAGAGAAATCACTATGGTTACGAGGTGCCATTATCCATTGGCTTGTGTGTTGCTGTTTGCCATTTTATCGGAGTAAGTTTGAAAACGTTATACCATTTCCTTTGTCTTTGTTATAGTCATATTTTGAAGTGTGAAGCAAGTTTTCTGTCGCAAAGATTCTTTGAATGCCTTTGTATCGATACCCTTTTTTGACGCTGTAGATGACTCCAGATTGAAAGGAAAAACGACGAAATGGAAATGTGTGCACTTTATTCCTTATCAGTGTATTGTAATCCATAAACGGGTAGCTCAGCCGCACTTAATACTGTTCACAAGGGCTTAAATATACCTACAACATTCCTTGTTTAAGGACAACCCCATCGAACAATCACATTGCAAAAGGATTAATTTTTTGAGGACTCAGTAATCATTAAGAGCAATACTATATCTCTAGGAACTTACCTATACCTCATACCTATGGGATAACCTTTCTCGCCTGAAGAATGGCCAGCTGTCAAGCATCTTTGCGTCTCCTCAGGCTCCCCTATCGAGGATCAACGCTACTGATAAAAATATGGCGGTGACATGGAAGCAGGCCATTTGCAGCCTCGTGTCTAACAAAAAATTCATTTATTTAAAGTCTTCATTTTGATTTTTTATCGGTGTTTGTGGTTTTGTAGACGGATTGGAAATCAGTGTAACTGTCATTAAACAGTAGCCTAATTTTCACACCATCCCAGGTCAATCGCCCATGCAATATTTTTTGGAGTTTAAGTAGCCTAAGACCAGGCTCCTTAGTGGGATAAAAAGGAAAAAACGAGGTGAAACAGCAAGCGGTGGACGATAGAAGGGGAAAAAGGCCCCCACCCTTTTCCCTCTCCAGAGTAGCACTTGAAGCTCGCTTCGCTCGATTCAAACGCAAATTAGAAGCTCTTTTGGTTGTCCAGTCACGAAGCCTGGTGATTTATAAGGCAAATCGGTTTCATGAAAAACAATACGTTTCGAAGATTGAGCATTTATCTAATGTATTATTGAATTCTTACGGCCAAACATTTAAACGAAGTCTAACTTAAGCCGCGGTTTAAAGAATCTTTGAACCTCCAGATCTCTTCTTTGGTGGGTTGTTTGAGGAAGATACATGCTTTTCTAGTCTTCTCTATATCAGTGTTTTCATTAAACTGTTCACAATAAATGATGTTTAGACAGAATCGTTGGGAAATCACGTGAAATGACTTAGAACGCGGTTTTGTTAAACACTGGCTAAACTACGTTTAAATATTTGGCCCTTAGAGTTCGATGGGGGTCAAGTTAAAAATCTGCCAATGAATTACTTAAAGCCTGAACTCTGCCACTGCACCGAACCTATAATCCCTTCCACTGAACCTTTTTCTGATTGAATCATCAAAGGACCGGAGGCTAGTGGTTCACCCTAAAGTTAAAACTTTTTACTTTAAATTCCTATCTGATTGTTCTTTTTTTTTTCATCTCTTTTCAGATTGGTTTTACTGGATGTGGAATTAATCCTGCTCGCTCATTCGGACCGGCAGTTGTTATGAACAACAGTGCGATCTGGGAGGACCACTGGGTAAATATTCATATTAGCAACCTGTCACCAGAAGACAGCAACTCCTATACTCGGCAGCGTTTTCACGGACCGGTTTATTTTCAGAAACATTTCGCAGCACTTTTCCCCACAAAAATCAAAGCTCTGCTGGGTCTATAAGCACTTTTGTATATACAAGAAAGAAAAAACCTAAACGTCATTAAAAGGTCAAAAAACACAATTTTTTGCTGACTTTGTTTTGAGACCTAAATTTAAATTTGTGCCAAAATCTTTCCAAAAATAAACTGGTTGGTGGCTCGCTGCGGTTTATGGCCTCCTGTTCATTTCCAATACCAGATCAATCTTTAACGCGTTTAAAAACTGATACTATGAAGTTCAAAGCACGCCTACTCATTTTTCCTGTGATTAAGAATATTTAAAGCAAGTTCTCAAACAAATGGAAAATGGGTTTCTGATACTAGCGAACAAATTCTAGTTAACAATACAATATGGCTAATGACGTATTATTGAGAAGCTGATGTACAAAATTTCCAAAAAAAAATGCCCAAACTTAATATTTGATTCTCATGGTATTTTGTAAAGAGATACTTCTTCTCTGTTGGCTAGTGGCCCATTGTTGACTACCCAAAGTATACTGAGTCACCTGATCAAGGCCTCATAAAAAAAAAATGAAGAAAAGAAAGATCCATGGGTTTCTTTTATTTGCCTTTTGCTGGGAAAGTGAGATGGGTGTTTTCAGGTGATCACATCATGTAGTATTACAAAACTGTGCAAAGAAGTTGCAAGATTACGTTTGACAGCAGTTAATTAATTGTTGGAACGGGAGACTTAGGAGATAGGTAATTGTAAGTCCCGAGTTTGAGTCTCTCCTTCTTCACTCGCTTGATTGGTCCTGTGGTGATCCCGAGATGATCTCCTGGACTATGCTTGTAAACGGCCAACTGGTTACCTCTTACCAATTTGTATTTTTAATACTCATAATATTTGGGAGTATTTGTTTGAAATTATCAGGGTAAGTGGCTTACCGGTAAATAAGGCACATCAACTTAGCGCACTTCGCGTCTATAAAAAGAATATTAACATTAAAATAAAAACTTAAAGTGCGTTAATGAATTTTTAATTGTTGTATCCCGCAGGTTTACTGGGCTGGCCCTATTGGTGGAGGGTTGCTTGCAGGCGTTCTGTACCAGCTGTTTTTCCGAGCCCGTCAAGAAAGTGGACCTACTGCAGGCTCCGTTAATGATCTGGAAATGAACTATCCTGATTCAAAGATGTAAAATCTAAGGGCGCCATGATAATCATAAGTCAGTTAATGTGGTACATGGTACTTTTGTGTTATTCAATTCAATTAAAGTTAATTCCCCATAGGCATTAGAAAGTGATGTCAGTTAACCTTGTCAGCCAGAGGTCGTTTAGTTATCAAAATCGAGACGTTATTTTCGAGGTATTCAGTTTTATTCAAGATAGAACAAGACGATTGTCTACAACCTCTAATCTTCAAATCGTCACCAGAAAGGTTCTACCCTGGTTCTAGATGCGCTTTTTGATAAAAGGATGAATTAGTAGCAGTGTCCGCGCTCGTTTCCCGTTATGATTTAGGAGTAAAATCCTGAATTGCACAGGGTAGTTAGAAGGCAGACAAAAGCAAAAGGACTTCCACTACTATCCCTCGTGATTTATTCACTTTTGATATATTTTTCCTTTATCGAGCGTCAACCGGTGAAAATATTTTACAACTGAAATTTTTCAAAGCAAACACACCAAAAGATTGCGTAAAGCAGTTTATGTAGACCCCACGGGGGGAGGGGGTACTCCCTGTGATGGCCTACATGGAGGCTCCACCCGAAAGGATTATCTTTTGTATATGCCTATTTTTATATGAAAGGTAGGTATTTCACTTGTTGAATTATGTAGAAGGGTAGGGAAATCTGTCATTTGGGTCTTGAGAAAGGGCCCAAAAGGGCTAACAGATGAATTTTATACCTTTACAAATTATAGAGACAACGTTCTATTTTTGTGATTAATTCCTACTTAAAAGACAATGCATTTACAGCAGTTAAGAGGGATGCAAAATTCTAAACAAAGTATGTGAAAGGGGTATCGTTTGTCAATAGAAAGTATAGAAAAGCGGTACTTTTTTTTCGTGAAAAATGGTATATAAAAAGGTAAGGGGTTGGACCTCGGGGGGGAGCCTCCCCGTATAAACATGTGTTAAGTACCCCCCGGGATCTAGAACCATGAGACGTTACTGAACTGACGAGGTCGGGGAACAGGAAAATGAAAAACGGGAAAAACCCTTAGCCCTATCGCGATCGGTAGCCTCATTACCCATTCGCTGTTTGGTAGTACAGGGGAATCCCGTAATATGGTCACCAATGGACTAAAAAAATTTGGCCCCATTAACGACGGTTTTTTTTTACAAGAGAATGTATGGCGGTTTTTGCCAGGCGGTCCAAAAAAAAGTAGCTGTAATAACGAGGTGACCGTATTACAGAGGCGGCCGTAAGGCGGGGTTTCACTGTACCCCTGTTTTTACCTTTCCCGTTCCCCGTTTCAGGAACTTTCGTCTTTAAACATCCTCTTTCTTTGGATGAAAACTTTCTTTTATCGAAAGCTTGGGTATGAGATATCATTTTCTCTGTATGACTCCTTTCTTTAACGAAAGCATAGGTATGAGATTTCATTGTCTCGATTTAGTGATTTGGCTTAGATGTAATGAGCATTATTCAACGTATTTTAATTTGTAAAAGAGGCACAACATTCCATCTGAAAATGCCAGTGTTCAATGCACAGCTTGCAGAAAACCTTTGAAAAGAACAAAATGGTCTCACTAGCAAGCAAAACTGAACACAGTTTGACCTTGAAAGAACTGAGTTGTCCGCTTGCGGACTTGCAATCCTGCCCCCTTTTACGGTTTACTGCAAAAGACCTATTTCACGGTTTAGCGCAAGACTTTAGAACACGGAGATTCGACCTCTTTTTAGCATTTGTGTCCGTTTTAGAGTTGACGTGATTAAAATAGATTTTATGTTATGCATTAATTATTGTATAGCAATAGCAGGTAAAATAAATATCATATACATTCATACACTGACTTACTTGAACGACCCCAGGTAAATGAATGTTTTATCCGCGGATTGTTAACGCAACAATCTAGTTAGGTTACTTGGCGTTCAGCGGTTATTAACATCAACTGACGTAAGTTAAGCGCCCTCGCCTGGCGCTGTTCTTCCAGTTTTTACACTCGTACCCCTCTTTGAGGGCAAACGATTGCAAGCAGTTTTCTGGATATTGATTCCACGACCAAGAATTTGTAAACTAACAGCTCAGGACCCGGAAAAATTACGAAGCCGTAAGAGGCTGTGTTGAGCTGAAGTCACAAATAAATAAGTAAAGTTTTCAGTTGTTTGGTTTAGGTTTAAAATGTAAGCATAATGTAAGGATTCACTAGAGGCGGGATGCATATTACAGTTTTGGAGGCTAAAATAGCTTAATATCATAACTCATCTGCTATTCAGTGTTATAGAAGTAACAAATGATCAATAAAGCAAAACGTGTTGACAGTTCAGACACCTAACCGTTCGACCTTGTGTATATTCTTTATCAAGAGAGAATGAGCTACATTCTCTCTTGTCCTTATACGGTCTCTATTTGGGTGTGTCACGTAGAGTGGTGCCAGACATGATATACAGCTATTTCGAGAAAGGGCGAAAAAAGTGCACGCGACGATCCCGAAAGGTATTGTGGATGGTTTTGAGCTCACTATTCTTCGACGAAATTTGAAATAGTGGCACGAGAAGCTATGAACGTATGTGCGCGAATGCTAAATTTCAGCTACAAAAGTAGTTTCTTCAGTTACAGTACGTCAGGAACAGTGTATTGATCATATCCCATATTATCTTTCGGGATTGTCGCGTGCACATTTTGTCCGACCACCTTTCTCCAAAATAGCTGTATTCACTCTTATTTTAACTTCTCTGCAACAGCCAAAAGTATGCTTTACAAAAAGCTTTCCTTCTACAAATATATCTAGACCTGCGTACACATTCAAGATTTCTTTTGATGAGTGCAACTGTACAGTCCGCCGGTATGTTTTGAGATGTTTTTACTAAAGCGTTTGGCACCAGTGGGTTAAGGTGATATTACGCAGGAGAATCGCCATTCGGAACGACCATTTTTAGCGCAACATAGCAGGGACAAAAGGATAACATGGTCATTTTTGTTTAATGGAGGTTAAGCTCTCTCCTGATTGCACAATGGTAAAGCTTCTAACATTTGATAACTGGTTTCTGTCACTACTATAATATTTTCGCTAACCCCATAGTATATCGCGTTTTCCCGCCAAAATGACGCTGGTTCACGCGGGCGCACGACTTAGTATTGAGAAAATCTCGTTGTCGAAGTCATCCTTGTCTTATAAAATCTAAGGGTTGGTTATTTAAACGAAGTCTATAACCTAGGCCGCGGTTTGAGAAATCATTTGACCTCGGGATCTCTTTTTCAGTGGATTAATAATTTAAGAAAATAATTGGTTTTCCAGTCTACGCTATATGCTCAGCTGGAGCTCGGAATTTTTTCTGAGCTTTCTAGTGTAAGAATGCTCCTTCGTTTTGATTATTGAAATCGGTGTTCACGATAAATGGTATTAAGATAAAAGTAGCCTGGGACCAGGCTCCGCAGTGGGGGAAAAAGGCTTCGCTCGCCGATTTTTTTCTCCTCTCCCGGCCAATGCGGAGCCTGGTCTCAGGCTAAGATAAAAGCATTGGGCAAACTGAAAATGGCCTAGAACACTGTTTTGTTAAACACGGGCTAAATTCAGTTTAAATTGGTGACCCTAAAGGTTCCTATTGACTGTGGTCGCATTATAGGAATAAATTGCGATTAAGACATGATAAATTTCATTAGCTTATTCCGTGTGCGTCCCCAAAAATGTTGACTTTGTAACTGAGATCTCGATAGCCTACGAGATCAAACGCCAATTTCATAAAACAGTTCTAGATCGTCATCTAAAGCGTCTAAAAAATGGATTCATTTCAATCTTTTCCTGGCGCTCGTTTCGTGAACCAATCATTTATTATTTGCAAGTAAGAGCCGTCAAAAAGGACCATCAATGAGTTGAGATTTCCGATCCAAAAAACAACTCAGTTTCTACTGTCCGACCCATATTTTCCACTGAGTGAAAAGAACATAATAACTCCCTGTACATCTTCGTACTAAAGTTCCCTAGTTTTCGCTACCGGATCAATCCCCCGGAACAGTTTTAAAAAGACTGTTTTCCTGTTACTAGAGTTCATTAGATAAATTCGAAAAAGATCATGTAGAGCAAATGTCTTGTTGGTTCAGTTATTTACAAAATATCCTTGTCATTAAAGGTTCTATCGAAGAAAAGACGTTGACAAAAAGCAACGGAAAGAAGCAGGGCTGATTCTACAGTCAGGAATATAATTTTTTTTTTGTTACCAATATTTTGAAAGGCACAGTCGTTTTCTTCAGGGTCTTACAGACAAATGAAACACTAAAAAGCAAGCCCCGGGGGAAGAGGGGTGTACTCCCTATAATGGACTATATGGAGAGAGGTGCCTTTTTCGGACTTTAGTTGTTGACGTATTAAAAGGTAGGGAAGGAAGTCTGTAGTTTCGGTTGGTAAAGAGACCCAAAAGGGCTAACTGATGCATTTCATGTCTGAGAAAAGGTCGAAAAAACGTTATACTTCAAAGACTGTGCATTTACGGCAGATAAAGAAACGAGGGATGTGAAAGGGGTACCATTTGTCAATAGAACATGCGAAAGGGGTACCTTTCTGTCAAAAATGGTATATAAAAGAGTAAGGGGTTGGAGCTCTGGGCGGAGCCTGCCCTTATAAAAGTTTTTTTAATAACCCTCCCGGGACGCACGCTTTTCACGTTCGATTGACCTAAAATAGTCAATACTAGGAATGCATTCAGGATTATTCAGAAATAGTCTCTATTTATAATCCCTCCTTCCCGCCCCCCCAAAAATAAAAACTTCTGTTCTACAGGTTAATGTAAATGCCTCAGTCAGTCCATTTCCAAACTGATACTAAAACAACTTAGTACCAGGTGGCGGCAGGTCACCTGCGGTTGCGTGATGCCAACTTGGGCAGGACAGTTCTGAAGCAATGTTCCCGTCAAGCGTAGTCTATTAAAAATGATAAATGATAAGGGACGGACCATTAGAATAGTTATGGGGGGGAGGGGAATTTTCAAGCTGCAAGAATTTTTTTTCGTTATCAAATTCTTTGCATGAATATTTTTTAGGGTTAATTGCCGTGCATGAATGAATATTTTTTTTTTTTTTTACTTTTTCCCTTGACATCCTCAGTTCAGCGACTTATTCTTCCTGATAGATATGAAAAAAGGGTACCATTTTTCAATGTACGGGATATGAAAGAGATACCTTTTAAGTCAAAAATTGTCTATAAAAGGGTAAAGGCAGTGGACACTACAGCAACACCAGCGTCACGCTCCTTTTTCATCGCCATCGACAAACATTGTAGATTAGGTGAACAAGGAATGTGAAACTCGCCATGTCATGCATATTCATGCCCGCCCGTATGTAATTTTTATTTTTAACATCACGTGATCTACAAAGGAAGGTCATTTGAACAGTGACGTAACAGCCACTAAATTTGACAACGTTCAAAAGCAGTCGGAAATTGGCGAGTATACAAAGAAAAAGACAATATCACATTTCATATTACCTTGTCGCGATGGTACATGTGAGTAATATGGAACTAAGATCACGTTCATTCTGGATCGAGGTGATCGCAGAATTATTAGTCACTCTTTTGTTCTTGTTCATGGTTTGTGGAACCGTTTTGCCGTGGAACAACTCCTCTCCGTCCATTATCCACATTGCTTTTAGCCACGGACTGAGCATTGCAACCTTAGTACTGACAATTCAACATGTTTCTGGAGGACAACTCAATCCAGCGGTGACAATCTGTATGCTAGCAGTTGGAAGAGTTTCAGTGTTAAAGGCTGTCTCCTTCATAGCCGCTCAGTGCATTGGAGGTAAGTATCCCTTTAACACCGAGGAAAAAACTCTGTTACTTTTCACGAGCATAGATCTGACATGAAAAAGAGCAGTTATGTAACAGCTTTCGATTAAAAGTTCACCAGCCGGCGTCTAAAACTCTTAAGTGTGGCTACCGTTTAAATCTTCAATGGGTCACATTTCTAAGCCCAGCCAGAATAGCACTGCAGTACAGTTTTTAATTTGTCCCTAGATGACCTAGAAGAGACGGGTTATAAGCAACTAGAGTAGGGCTACTGCCCGGCTACTGCTTGAGTTTATTAATTAGGTTTTCCTTAAGTTAATTACATTTGGCTGAGAAAGACCAAAGGTACTGTTCATTTTTAATGCAACATTGAACAAAATCACACCAGGGAAGAGCTCTTTCTTGCACCTCATGTCTCTTCAGTTTTTTAGATGAACTTGTTACGCTGATAGGCAAATAAACTGCTGAATAGCTGCTGACTCATGGTCTTCTCTCACTCACTTTCATCTTAATGTTATCTTATCTCCTTAATTTGCGAAAATAAGCAAATTAACACCATGACACAGGAAACTTTTTGGTATGCATCTCCGGCAGAGTGTTCTGTGATGCATGCTGCTTATTTCGTTCCACAAGGGTTAGCATGACTGTAAATTAAAATTGAAATAATGAGATGATGTGTACACTGTTCTGTTTTTCTTCCTTTTTTTTTTCAAAAAGTTGAACTCTTGCAACCACAAAGGTCAGCAAGACGTTAATATCTCAAGTAAAATGAAAGAAAAACAAAATAAAATACCGTGTCATATAACTACTTGATATATTAACATAGTAATAATGAAAACCAGTCAATTGCTTTTGTTCTTAAATATATTCCACCAGTCTGATATTAAAAATACAATAGAAACTGGGACTAACTAAAGTGGTTTCTTTTTTAGATAATCATTTGTCAGTATCTGTATTTGACAATTTCCAAGGCAAAAAAAGAAAAACATCTAACCAATGACTTGGTTTACAATCCCAGAAAAACAAAATGAATAAAATCATTAAATAAGTCAAGTGTGTGCCCGTGAAAACCGGTTTAAACCTTGACGGAGAAGGAACTGAGTATGCAATACTCGCTACCAATGCAAATTATAGGTTGTAAATAGTTTCCGTAGTTGTAGCTACTTTTTCGGCTGCGTACCAGAAACACCGTAAATGCTTTATGCTTTTGACTACCAACCAAGTTTCAATGACCGAAAAAAATGGTCGTTTTGAGGACGCTTAGTTTTGGAAGTAAATGACAGTTAATTCAATAAAAACAGTGTACTTGATATCGTATTTAACCCGCAAGAGGAGAAAGGAGAGGTCATTTCCGCAATTTTCTTTTTAAAGAATTTATTGTTTCATAAGATGACGATACCTCGTTAGCAAGACAACATTTGTATGGTGTGCAAAGGTAGTGTTATTATCGTGACTCCACTTTGTCTTAAGGGTTCAAGGATTTTGCCGTCCCACCGTTACTTTCCGAAGGTACGACATTAACCGTCTACAGTCTTTCCACCGCTTGTGTGTGTGTTTTTTTAAACAATATTTATCCAGGGGTATTCAATTTAGCGGAGCTAGTTTAAATGGAGCCCTGAAACAACACAAAAACGAAGACATTAAAACATTAAAACTAGAAAATTAATTAAGTTACAAAGGCAACATGTACCGCAGGCGCTACTTTTTAAAATGGCGCTTTAGCTCGATTTTAAATTCGCTCAGCGTCTCTACTTGTCTAATGATTCTCGGTAGGGTGTTGTAGGTCCGAGCACCGTTTATTCTGAAGCTACCTTGGTGTTTAGGTAGTTTTTTCGAAGGAGGGTGCAGCAAATCACGGCTTCTGGTGTTTTTGCCATGAAAAAGGTGCGCGAGCCTAAACTCTGAAAGTAAGCACGAAGGCGCTATTCCGTGAAGACACTTATGGACTAAGTGCAAGCTGGAAGCTGGAAATTGGCTGAACCATTTGTATTTGCATTCTTCATTAACTCTGCGGAAAAAGGCGATCTCTCTCAGAGTCTTCAGCCGTCGTTATACACCGAGTACACTGTCTTCTCGTACCAAATAACGAAATACAGTAGAGTTAAACAATAGGCGGCAATTCCATGTTGATCAGTGTGGTTTCGTCTTTCCCATCAAGCAAGTCAGTTCCTGAACAAATGACTAAATCGAATCAGCATTTGAGATTGTGGTAAGTCGATCATACTCAAACGTCTAATGAACTAAAAAAATCTTTGTATTTTTATTTTTCCAGCTATCTGCGGAGCGGCCATAGTTTACAGCATCACTCCTAGTAACTCTATTGGCTCGTTAGGAGTCACAGCCCCTGCAAACGGTATCAGTACCGCCCAAGCATTTGTGGTGGAGCTTGTTCTTACTTTTATATTGGTGTTCGTGGTTTTTGCTGCCACTGATCCCGGTAGAGGCTTGACAGGTTATGGAGTACCGCTGGCCATAGGAATTTGCGTGTTCATCTGTCTTATGCATGGGGTAGGGTTACTTGCAACAAATGTTAGTTTGAAAGCCTACGAAAGTGATGGTCTTTCCGGACCTTGTTTGGTCTCAGTGTTTGTCATTTCTACCAAATTCGTCTTCGCGATTGCATTTCCTGGACACAGGGACAAAACAGACGAGAAAGCAACAGAAAAGCGATGCTTAGAGTTACCCTTGACGGACTGTGTAAATTGTACAAACCTTTGAGACGTATTGGAATCAAAGAGGATCAAAGCAAATAAGGGTTCAGTTTGGTTACAATGAAGTTACAAATCTACTTTTACTGCAAGTGCATGCAATAAAGGATATAGAAAATTACCGAAGAAAATGAAAAATTGTGTTTTGTTTTCCTCTGAGAAGGATTACTTGATACCTTTCTTTCAGAGTTCCTTGTACAATAAATAAATAAATAAATACGTAAAAAAATAAATAACTGGGGATATTTGTTTTACTTTTCAACTGAGTTTTGGTTTAAAAATGCGGAACTCTCCACGACGTTGTTTAAAGGGTGGTAACGCCCTCCCCTAGATAAATCTCAGACGATACAGCTACAATATGGGCTCGTTTATAGTTCTTGTTTCTTTCTAATGAGAGATGTACTTTTTTCTTGAATCTTTCACTTTTAGATCCCTTCCTCTGGAGCTAGTATGAATCCAGCGCGTTCTCTTGGTCCTGCTGTCGTCATGAACTCGTGGAAAGACCACTGGGTAAGATGTGCATCTGTAAGTTCAGAATTTGTAGTGTGTGCATTTGCAAGGACGGTCCCCTACAATAGTTCCCTCTTTTCACCTTTGCAGCAACGGGGAGTTTTCTATAACTCCGTTTAAAACAGTTTTGGGTATTGTTGTTACGTTTTTTTCAAGTCCTTCTCCCTTTTATCCAATCGATGTTGTGGAGAAGTTGTGTTTGGAACTCGTGATGGTATTTTTTTGTCGTTTTCCCTTGCAACCGTTTTTCTCTCGTCACGCAACGCTTCTCAGTTTGTTGGGGAGGAGCATTGAGTCACGAGACAAAAACGGCTGCAAGGGAGACTGGAGGTCGGATTCATTAAAGTTCGATCAACACTGCGAGTCAAACCTTAATACAGACATCAAAGCGACGGAGTTGAGTGTCCGAATTACAGGTGTCTGTGTTACAGTAAGACCTCATAAGGTACATCAGAAGTCAGTGTTCGCATTACAGAAGGGTCTGTCACTTTGGATCCTCCCTCCTCTCCTTCCGTCCAGCGGAGTAAGAGAAGGCATAGATCGGGTATGTCCAGCCTTCGTATAGGTGTATTCTTTCCCTGACCTTCCTTGAGGGGGTATTTATCATAAAGGGAAAATTAACCCTCCTTAATACGGACACTATAAAGGGACGTCAGAGCCAAGTGTCTGCCGCATTACAGAGGTGTCTGCATTGTAGAGTTGGCGAATTGTCATGAAGTGTGGCATCCCGGAGACAAGTTGACAAATCAAAGAAAACCATCCGTACTAAAAAGATTTCTATAAGGAAAAGTTTAACTGTACCAGTTTGTTACTAAAGTTTATTTTCTGTATTACATTTCAGATATACTGGGTTGCTCCAATTACTGGTGGTCTTTTGGCAACAACCACTTATCAATTTCTATTCAAAGCGCGAAAAATGACCAGCAACAACAACATTAACCAAGAAAATGAACTTTACGCCGTGGAAGTGAAGGACAACAACGAATCTAAATCCCTTGTTTCCTCTTCATAAAAGCCGTTGTCCTACAGATAATGCTGCAATTGATCTGCATTAACCATTACCTTTGATATGGCCTGCCGTCACGGTCCCAGAGTCGCCCCGGAGCGCTTGCTCAGTCGCAGGCTACATCAAGACGGCTTTTTATTACCTTTTCATTCTATTTGCAAATACTATCTTGACATATCTAATTATTAATTGTACTTACTACATGGAGTGAAAGAGCCTGGGTTAAAAAACATAGGTCCTCATTTACTGAGCATACATGGTAAAATCATCCACAAAAATACTTAGGATTACCCATCACGTTAAATACCAGACTGAAGAGCACTTTAAGAAAACAAGACTTTGGGAGTAACTTCAAACAGACTCTCACACAGCTTTGCGTTTGTTGCCATGATACGTTCTAGTTTACTGTTGCAGTTTGTATTTACTGGAAATAAAGACAATGTTCTTTTGAGGCCGAAATTTGAAGAACTACAAGATAAGCGCTCACTTCAAATTAGCGCCCCTCTCTCAGCTCAAAAAATTAAATAAACGCCGGCGTTAATTCAAGCATCTACGGTATGTGCCGTTTATGCAATATTTGTAGTCATAGGTGAACCTAAAAGTTGGGCTGAGTCAACGTTTAAACTAAATCTTGTACTTTGCGTTTTCCTAGATATCGGATGTTGATAAATAGCAGCATATATGCCTCAGGTGACACTTTCCAACAATTCTGTTATGATTATCGCTAACAAGATATCTAGTTAGCGATCTTTCCGACCTCTTGTTATTATTATTTAAAAGTTTAAGATCGAGAGGCTATGGAAGTACTACCGACGCTAATTCATTTTTAAGTTACCACACGGTTTTCGGTGTACACGTCACGCAAATAAAACACAAAATCCTGGTAAATGAATGAAGTCAAGAGAGTAGGATATTATATATATTATTTTACGTCTGTGCAATACCCCGTTCATTAGTTAATCGTCATAATCAGTTCCTTACAAATTATACAGTTCTGTGTGGAGCCGACATATTGGTGCACCAACACTTTTCACTTTTAAGCACGAGTTATACACGTACACACCTTTTATAACCTCTGAAATTCATTGCGCCGTTTGCTACCAAGCAGGAAAGTTGAAATTAAGACCTCTTTAACCTTACAAACATGAATAACCCTGATGGATATTTAGTTTTAGATTTTACAATTTTCAGTGCGGCGTTACGTGAAAACGATCAATAAATGATTATTCTGTGGTAAGAACTTCTTTTTAAAGCAATTAGTAAATTACAGTGCCACATCAAGGTCCTGAGGTAAGAAGGGGGTCCGGAGGCCTGCTCTTAAGAATAATGATTTTCTCGGCGCCTCGCCTCGTGGCATGGGGCTCCGCAGGCCTCACAATATTCTCATGATTACGCGACTCAAAAGAAAGGCGTTAGATTGGGCTAAGTAAATCACTGGACGACGATAAAAAATCAACGTGCAGTTTACAATTGTGGGCTGGCAGTTATCTGATTCGTAATCAAAAAATCAATAGGAGATCGATCGATGTACAGGAAAGGAAATATATGTGTTCTGCGGGAAATGTAACTATGTTTTTATTGTAAAGCCTCTTATATCGGGTTTTGCTTGTTGGAAACCCAACGTAAACATGGAAATATACATTACATTTTCTTTGTTTCGTTTGATAAGTTTAATTGTCAAAACCATAAAATCAAAATAACGTCGGTGACATTTGTCAACTTCTATTATCTGATCAAAACACGATTGTATGTGATTTCTTCCCCATCCTAAGCAATTTCTTTATTTTAAAGATCACATACATCGCACAGAGCCGACAAATTTATAAAAGAAGCCGAGAGGAAATTGCTTTTAATATAATGGGAATCGTAAAAAATGATTTATAAATAGAACATAATGACAAGAAAGACCATCACTATAACAAAGGCAAAAAGGTATAAGCCAATGGAAATTAAGCAGCAATTTTTCACTACCAATTTAATACTTGAATATTCGTTTTAAAGGGAAACAAAAGGAAGTGCTTTGACAGATATTTTTTAGGTGCTTGCATGTATACAAATAGTAGTGAGTTAACTCGAATCTCAACAGCAAGTTTTATCCTTCATTATGCCAATGTTAGACATGCTCATGAGGCTTCGAAAGCGGGAATTTTGGGTTTGCGTTGGCGGCGAGTTTGTAGCTACGACGATCTTTGTGTTCTTGGTGTGTGGTTCAACGTTGAGTTGGCAAGACGGTGCTTGTACAGTTCTTCGCATTTCGCTTACTGCGGGTCTTAGTATCGCCACCCTAGCGATGGTGATAGGTCATCATAGCGGAGGACTTTTGAACCCCGCCGTAAACATAGCACTGGTTGCTGCACAAAAAATTACTGTTGTGGAGGGGATAGCGTACACAGCGGCCCAGTTCTGTGGAGGTCAGTACATTTTCAACATATCGTGTATGCAATTGTGACGATAATTGTGAAATATTAGCAGCTAGGATATATAAGAGGAATAATTGGTGCGTCATTTAGATTCGAGAGAATAACTAAGGCCTAAAACATTTTCTGTTGCCTATAATGGCCAAAAGTACACTAGAGGGAAGCTAGCAAAGCTACATTTTGGGAAAAAGCGAAAGAAGGAAACGTCTTATTATCTCCCATCTAAAGTTTTCACGACACCTATAATCTCGCGGATTTCGAGAGTCCCCTCCAAGAAACTGGATCGCTTAAACAAATTCATGCGACTTTGTAAGCGTCGTGAAATATGCATACTTTTTAACCCGGCACTGAGAAATCGAAGTGTCGCACGGGAGCATTCAACATGTAATCTTTAAAAAATTATTTAGGGAGAGCTTCATTTGACTGATTGCACTTTAGCCTTTGGCTTTTACATTTTAATGAGGGATTTTATTCTTGAAACTTCGTTCAAGAGATAAAAACATATTCTTGTTTGGAGATTTCTAATCAAAAACAACTTAAAGACAAAATTAAGAAGAGAAATCCAAACCGTCATTACGGAATTTTACATTGTGATTTGCATAGACAGCTGGCAGGTTTTTCAGTGATCAAATCGACAACTAAACGCGCAAAAACTAAACGGAAGTAATTTATGACAACAAAAACAACATTTAAATCTACGCTTTTTGTTTACATACATAAAAACATCAAGCTTTTTAAGTTCACCAAAATACTGACTTCTAAAAATCAAACCGCCGCTGAGTGGTTATGATCGTTATGATACAGGAGTTTTTCAACCCTGTTTTAATAAATGAGAAAAACAATAATTTGCTTCAAGATTGAAAAAAAAAGGTTGACAGAAAAAGAAAGATAAAAAATTGCTTTGCTATCAGTTAGGCTAAATCTCTATGCAAAAGAGCATTTCACATGACGTCACGGCGGCCATATTGGTGTTCCAGAACAATGAAACGGCGGCCATGTTGGTGTTTCAAACAAATCCTGTGGGAGTTTAGCCCGGGACCAGGCTCCGTAGTGGGGAAAAAGGCAAGAAAGAGGGTCAAATAGGAAAAATATCGGCGAGCGAAGCGCGTAGAGCGGTATCCCCAGACTTCCTTTTTCCGATTTTTTCTCCTTTTTCCCACAATGCAGAGCCTGATCCCAGGCTAGTGGGAGTTGAACTCTTTTGTTATCTGCTTATGAAAAAGTTTTCTTTTGTTCCAATAAACCTGCCTAGCTGCTGGTCACGTGAATGAAAACGCACTATACCGGATAGCTCTTGTGCAGGCACAAGAATCATCTACAACTATCCCCCGAAGGGGAGGTGAATAGTAGTGGCTGGCTATATCGCGACGCGAAGCGTCGAGGTATATAACTACGGCTATGAACCGACCGGCGGGGGAGGATAGTTGTTCTAGTATTTACCAAATCAGTTGGATAAAAATTTTAAAAAAAGTAAACAAAAGACGTCACTTTGTTCAGAGTTTGTTTACGTTTCAATTGAAGGTGTTTCAGGGATAATTTTTTTTATGATTTTGTTGCAAATACAGTAAGAAATTTTTTTTTCTACTGACCAGTAAACCCCGACAAACTAAATTTTGTCTCTTTCTTGGTATTTGTTGGTGCAGCTGCTTCATTTATTGCTAAAATTTCATCTTTCGAAAATGTCGCGAAACGAGAAGCCATTTTGAATCCTTTCCCTATCCAAGCATATTCCGAGTTACGGGAGCCCATCAGAACGTGCGAAAATTGCTCTCCACTGATTTGGTGAATACTAATTCAGGATATTGCCTTTGTTCACCCATACGCACGTGTTTATGTAATGGAGCGAAGATGCGCGGCGCCGATCTTAAAAATGTATCGTCACGTATCGGATAGGTCTCTGTGCCATTTAGGTTAGTGTAGTGGTAACCAAACCATGGTTAAAGAGGTTTCTACTTTCTAAACTGAAACCGACTTAGAAATTTCATTCAGCGATTTTTCGGTGGAAAAAGCGCAGCCTGAGAAAACAGCTGAAAAATTCAAACGCCGTCACTGGTTTCCCGGCTGAGGAACGCGGGCAGAAATTCCATACTGACGACAAGTCACTACCCAGATCTGGATAGTGCTTCTGATTAGCTGAAGAAAATTTCCCTTGCAGCACGACCATTCAGAAGCACTCTCCAGATCTCCTTAATGACAGGTTATCGGTATTGAATCCTGACAGCAAACGTTACCCATTTGACGTCGGTAAAACTAGTGGTAGCGTCGGGAAATGTCGGCCGTTTTCTCAGGCCAGATTAAACAGTCTTATTTGAATTTTTCGAATTTCTGCCTTCACTCAACCTGGAACAAGTTCTGTGAGAAAATACCGCATAAAAAATGCGGCAAGTTGAGCTTTCAGTGTCATCAGCATAGACAGACCACAGTCACGCTCTAATAAGGGCCACCTTTTTTCGTATCCTTCACTACTTTTTCCTGTCTTCAACGGCTATGAACCTCTGTCGCCAAGGCGGCCTTTGTGGAGAGGTTCGACTCGTTTTCTTCCATTTGAGGGCAAGGGGACTTACAACAACTTAGTCTGCAATTTTTGTACGGTTCAAAACCGACAATAGGCCATTGGTAAACCTCGTAGCAGTAAGTTACATTCGTCCTCTTCATCGAAACAAGCCAAACTGAGTGAGAATTAATGATTCACATAAAGTTCGTCATCGATCTTTCCCAGGGATCTTAGGTGCAGCACTGCTGTATGGGTTGACTCCTGCTGAGGTACGTGGAGGACTGGGAATGACTACGCCTGCGCAAAACATTAATGTTGCCCAGGCCTTTGGCGTCGAGCTACTACTTACGTTTGTGTTAGTTTTAACCATATTTGGCACCACTGATAAAGGCCGGGAACATCGCGGATACGAAGTACCCCTTTCAATTGGATTGTGCGTTTTCATTTGCCACTCGGTTGGGGTAAGTGTAACCACAGAGCTACTTTAATATGTCCTCAAAGAGATTGCCTAGAGTTTTATGATTGGGTGCAACTTAGCCTGCACCATGGACAAAACTTAACTCTGGTTAAGTCCGTCTACGAAACAGCTCCGAAATCCTTGTTCTGGGCCCCACCTGTGTACCAGGATTTGAGTACGTGCCATGATTGGCCTGTTAAAAAAGCCATTGTCAATTTGCCAATCAAGATAAAAGGAAATTCGAAACGCACTTCCGGTAATTCGTTGAATCCGTTGGGGGCCCAGAACAAGGATCTCGGCACTGCTTCGCAGACGTTACAAAACGAGGTCAAATTTCGTCTGCGACGCAGGCTAGTGCAACTGGGCCCCTTGTAAAACTCAAGTTGCGCGTTCCCGCGCGCTGTTTCCTGATTTTCATGACGCCAGCGAGGCACAAAATGGCAATCGTAACCACCAATTTTCTCGTTTGCAGGGAGTTTTCCCCTCGGTGAAGTTTTAGAAATCAGCTCAATTCTAAACAATTGTATTCTACTATCACGGATGCGTTCCAGTTACACAAACTATCAGGTTGAAAATCTTGTTCAGTCAACCATAAGTTTTCCTCGTCGGGGAAAGAGACCTGCACTGCAAAAAGTGCAGCCAAATGGCCAGAAATCAAAAAGAATATAAAAAAAAATTGCATCGTCTCGAGCGATATCCCATATCTTCTGAAGTATCCTAAACGGCATGGTGTAAACTATTTGATTTTCCAATCGAACTTTCAGTTTCCCCATGTAAATGGTTTGCATCTCAGATATTCACTTTTGCAGAAAAAGTCAACTTCAGCAACTAGATAGGGGTTATTTAATTGTATTTTTTCTTAGAGATATTTAGTAATCCATTGTGGATCAAATAACAAAAGCCCAAATTTCCACGAGAAACCAAACACGTGAAGGGTTTTGGGTAGCTGTAGTCGAGGGACGCCAAACTACCAAACTACAAATGGCCTATTTGTTTGTATTACATCAGTAAACGAAGTTCAGTTAACGGCACACAAACTTGAATATGGACAGAATCTGTTTTCTTCTCTTCTTCTCATCTTTTCAGATTCCTTTCACTGGGTGCAGTATGAACCCAGCGCGTTCATTTGGACCCGCCCTGGTTATGAGCTCATGGAATCACCATTGGGTACGTTACACGGGCACTCGCATTTTTGCCTTTATTTTTTGGTTTCTTGACTTGTTGATTTTTTCATGTCAGTTCACGCACATGAAATTACTGAATCAGTCAAAAACAGCTCAATCAAGAAAGTAGGGTGCAAAGAAAATTAGTGTTACAGCTTGCCCTTCGGTTAAACTGTAGCTAGCATGTACTAGCCCGAGAGACATTTTTTGTAGCTAGCCAGGAAAAAAATGTTTTCGAGCAGGTTTTATAGTCAATTTATTTCAATCCTTTATTAATTAATTACACCAGCGGTAATAATAATTGTAATAATTTCAGTTCGCCAGATCAAGTTGAAAAAAGACTTTCGATCCACACGAATTTATAAGGAGTTTCAACAGTTTGTCTAAAAAAATTGCGTAAAGTATTTGAATTCCGCCAAAAAATTTCACTTGCTCGTTGGGCCATTTAAGAACATTTCGCTAGCCGATCGCAAAATCCACTAACCCCGGGCTATCGGGCACAACTTTCTTTGCACACTGTAAGATTTCGAATGGTTTTGATTTTGCCGGAAAACACTCTTACATTCATCAGTCTACGGACCCGAGTTACATTGTCGCACGGATCTTTCCTTTCTTTTAAAGGTTTACTGGGTTGGCCCCATATCAGGAGGACTGATGGCGGCTTTTCTGTACGAGTACGTATTCTCTTCAAGTAAAGTAACAATCTCTCCAGCTTAATCTCAACTGCGTTACTTTTGAACAACATGGACGAAGAAATACTGAAGAAAGAAAACCTCGTTCTTAGAAGATGGTTCGAAGTTCGACATTTCTTGTCTATCTACAGTCTGTGATACCTGGACAAGAGCACAAGTCACACATTCGCAAACCAACGTTGCTAGTCTTTTTACGGTACCCTCCTCCACTTTTCTGTGTGGGCGGCCATCTGGTACAAGAGAGACAGTTTGTGCTTTCTTTAACTCTCTTTTTACCTACAGAAGTGTCCTTTATAGCTGAATACAAGAGCTTGAACTTTGATAGACACTCCGAGAGTCTCTATTCAGAACACAAATTTACAACATCTTCATGCAGGTTCTTATATAGCGACAAAATACTCTAGAATACCATCCTTTTCGAGGCGGCGTTTTTGGTCATTTCTAGATAACTTTTAGTATACAGGGTAAAGATCGTTAGGTGGGGTTCTTTATAAATGAATGGTAGTTATCTACAGTAAAGATCTGTTGACAGCAAACCTTACTTGCGTACAATCAGCAGTTTTGCACAAACAAATGGATGATGCTAATGATATGGGATAACTTTTAGTATACAGATAAAGATCGTTAGGTGGGGTTCTTTATAAATGAATTGTAGTTATCTACAGTAAAGATCTGTTGACAGCAAACCTTACTTGCGTACAATCAGCAGTTTTGCACAAACAAATGGATGATGCTAATGATATGGGAAAATGCGAAAATGCAAAGTATACAACATCTCAACACTTTTAATAAATAGTAAATAAATTTACACTTGATGTAATACATACATATCCACAGTCAGTTGCTGCTTCTTTAAATTCACCAGACGGTCACTAGTGAGTTTTAAAATGTAAAATTTCTGATGGCGTTTGTACCGCGACTACGTCCTCCTCACCTTATAAACAAGACAGCCAAACCAGCCCTAGAGGGTCGTCTGCCATTTCAGTTCTTTATTCTGGCAAAATTTAACTGGTTTTAGTCCCAATGGGTTCAATGATCTGCTTGCGTCTCGCTGGAAGGTCAAGATAATTATGTATGCCACGAGTTTTTACGGCACTAGCTTACTCGCTTGTTTTGTTTTAATTTGCCACATCAGAACTTCCTTGATTATTTTCCTCAAGTTTGCCGCTCATGTTCTACTTCCTTCCATCGCAGCAGAGAGTCTTCAAGAATGGTTAAACAACTTTGAAGAGTTTGTAGGTCAGATGGATTAAGAACACCTAGAATGCAAACGAAAACATAAACACACAGCCAAACTTAAACATAATTACGTAAATGTGCGATTTTGGCTCCTGATTGAAGGTCTCTTCTTCTATAACTTAAAAACAAGTCTACTCCTCTTACATCTATACAGATGTAGCAAGTGCAAACCAAGGTTGGGCAAGTAAAGCCTTAGTTAGGATTGACTCAATCTACGATTGGGCGTTTTAAGGTAGGCAAAACTGATCTTAGATCGTCACTATCATACAATGTACCTGTTGTAGGATAATTCTTAAGGAATGAAAAATCTAAGCGCCAGTTAGTTCGCTTCTACGTTCTTTCGCTAGATTAATTATCATAATCTCCCACACGGGAAAACAATAAACGGTCCTTTTAGGTATGCTGGCCGGCAGGTGCGTGAATCCGAAATAAACACGTCCCTGTTTGGTCGCGTGTCCGGAGATTTCGAATCCGCAGTCTATCTGAAGTGAATACAACGTATTTGAATGAATGTGTTCGGATTTACGCCACAGTAAAAAAAGGGCAACAAAAAAGTGCAACTTGCTTTGCAACAATGCCGCAAAACGAGTTGAATAGCGATGTTGCGCGCTTTACCACCCATAACAAATAAGGTTGCAAGGTATTTTCTTGTGGATGGTAAAACGCGCAACATCGCTATTCAACTCGTTTTGCAGCAATGCCGCAAAAAACGAGTTGAATAGCGATGTTGCGCGCCGAATACCCAAAATGAAATGAAACAAATAAGGTTGTAAACGAAGCCTGTGGGTTTGTTTTGTGGACGCTATCGGCTATTAAAAGGTGGCACAGAAAACTGGGGACAAAATTTGTCACCCACAACAGTCCCATAATGCAATTCTTGCCTATTCCCTGAACGGCGTTTCCCAGTCTCTATCGGTCAATTCACTTCGGTGACGTATCCGAGGCGAACGGGCGGGAAACTGACATCTTCGCTTGGACCACGTGACCCGAAACGCTTTGGCCGCGCGGAAAATTGAGGCCTAGGGACTAGGCAAATGCATTTCTCCTGTGAAACCTTCCAATGGCCAATTATCGCCAATTTTTCGAAAGAGAAGCTATCTGCTGAGAGTAGTTATAAAATTTATGTAACAAATATCTCACTCGAATGACTCCCTTGTCTTCTGGATATTTTTGCTTTACTCTCATGACACATTTCACTGTAAGAAGACTTGATCGTTTCTAGACTTCGAAGCGTCTGAGGGGAAAAAAAGAACACGAGAAGGTCAGACAGACAAAAATCACTCTAACAGGCTAAGCACACTTGAAAAGAGTTTCTGAACCAAAATGAGCAACTTTAAGTATGTTTCATTATACGCCGCGGACAAACGCTTGAGACATTTTAGTTTTTAACAAGTGAGATGTTATATACCATGAAGTGGAAACACAAGCGGGGATGTAAAAAAGTCATAGTGAATTTGGATACTTTCAGTAAATTTTTCTTAACATAATGGGCCGGCTATTTAAACGAAGGCTAACTTAGACCGCGGTTTAGGAAATCTTTGGACCTCCAGATCTCTTCCTTCGTGAGTTAGCTTAAGAAAACAACTGCTTTTCTAGTCTACGCTATGGTCCGCCTTAAGTTTTTATGAAACTGTTCACGATAAATGGTGTTTACATAAAAGCGTTCGGCAAACTAAAAATTAAATAACTGGTCCGATGAGTTTCTTTTCGTTGAAAACGCTTTGCGCCAGAGTGGAGTCAGGGCTATACTTTCAGTTTTCAAGCACTTAGAATTTTTTTTTTAACCAGACTTTCGAAGAGTTTAGTAAATCAACAGTGCACTGGTAATGTCTCAAACTTATACGCAAAGAAAACCGCAACCTCAACTTTAAAGTACATTGCTTAGCTTTAACAAATTTCTCCTGTATGATCTTGGTCAAGTTTCATCAACACTACCAACCTGAAGATATCTCAGTAAAAGGGAATGAACTCTGCTGAATGCTGGGCCCACTTCTGCAAACAAACAAATATACAAGTTGCAATCAACGTTACACTGTCATCATTAGAGCAGTTTCCAATAGGCCATTTCCGAGTTTCAAAAAACATTAACCTTCAAGATGAGACTTTATAGGGAAAAAAAAAGTCCATGGGAAAATGACTTTTTGTCTGAACAGTAATAGAAAATTATTTCACGTTTTTGCACTTATAGATTGTAAATACTCTCGTTTTCAAAAAGACTTGGGTCAACTCACAGATGGCCTATCAGATGTTATAGAATCCAGGTTCGCCGTTTTCTCAAATTCGTTTTCGAAAAAGGTCAGTCTTTGACCCTCAAAAGCGGGAGCATTTCCAAAACAGGGCTGGCTAGGCTCGATTTGTGCCGCTCTCTCGAGTCTGGTCGTTGTTTCTCCCCTGTTTTGAGGAGATGAGTACTGGCAACCTCCCCCAAGACGCAACTCCCAAGAAATTAAACTCCCCAACCTTAAAAATTGTTGAGCCTTATATCACCAAAAATACTTTTAAAAAGTCAGAACTGGCCGGTGTAACCGGTCATTTTGAAAATGAAATTTCTGCTAAAACCCATCACATCCATGTATACCATTCAGGAATAAACTGATCTAGCTCGGGATAGTCCTGATTAACCCTTTAAGTACCAAAAGTGACCAACATCAATTTTCTCCTAACAATATCCATATGTTGCCAAGAGAAATGGTTATGAGAGTTAATAAAATGATCACTAAAGAGAAAATGCTTTGATCTGTTATTATAAAGTAACTAAGATAGTACGTGCGTTCTAATTGGTTAAAAACCTATAGTTTATTGTGCCAGTAAACTCATGGGAAACTTAAAATTATTTTATAAAAGCAATAGACCACACTTTCTTTGGGTTTACCGGCATGATAACCCATTTAAGATGTTGGGAGAACACTTGAAAAGCTTGTAAATCACTTGCCTTCGGCTCGTGATGTACAAGCTTTTCTCGTGCCCTCTCAACATTCCGCGTGGGTTATCACGCCGGTAAACCCATAGAAAGTGTGGTCTATTGCTTATTCAAACTCTCTCAACTAATTCTTTAAAGAAATGTATGAAGATCAGTATGGAGAATTTAGGTGTGAATACTGGGGCTTAAAGGATTTACAGAGGAATTGTCCTTCGGATTGGACTAGTCTGGCTGGCCGGTTCTGACAAATGTTAGGAGCCGAAGTGTACCTGACAGAACAGGTGCTTGCCTTCTACACCATGGCTTCATTTCAGTTTCAAAACAATGAAGAAATCCAGACACGACTTGAGCCATGGTTGTGAGGGACAAAGACAATGTTTTGCTCACTTTCTCGATTGTGATGGCATCAGCATCACATAAAGGAGCCTGGAAAGAAAGTAAAACATATTTTAAGGGACAAAAATTAATACAAACATGAGTTTAGGATGATAAATAGGGCTATCAGAAAAAAGTCTTTTGTCTTAAACAGGGTCAGGGCAATGGCACAGACCTGGATTCTCAGTTGCAAGGCTCCTTTTTTTTTTAAAAAAAAAGTTTACAGGCATCATACCTTTTCTCTGAGTTCCTCCAGTTCCTTGCTCTGTTCTTCTAGTTCGCTGGTCAGTTTTTCTGTGACAGAAATTAGCTGTTTCTCATCTGGTATTCTGTTGATTGACACAAACAGTTTTGCAAAATGTTACATGATGAACAGCAACATAATAATAAAATAAGGGAAATTGACCTTAATTACTTTGAATCTGTCTTCTAAATTAATTTTAAGACTAAATGAATGTCCTCTATCCCTAAAACTAAAATAATATTTATCCCCTAGAGTTACAAAAATTGAGTACAATCCATTAGTAGAAGTAGTAACCACTTTGCACAACAACCAAAACAATCTTTTTGTTTGCTTCTTTGTTGAGGGCTAATATAATTTGCTTAGTTTGTTTTTAATGGAACTTTTTCATGATTTATTGGTAGTACTTGTCCTAAAGTCACCAAAAACTGATCCCCTTTTGTTTTGCATTGCGCAAATATTAATTTTTATATCTTTCTAGGGGGTAATTTCGTTATGAAAAATGGCTCAGCCCCTTAACTTTTTGGAAAAATAAAAAAGAGCATGTAGGTTATATGTACATGATTTTTCATATGACTTACCTTTTTTGTTCAAGCCCTGATGTAGATTTTATCAAGTCAGGTGGATAGAGTTGAACTTTAGATCTAAAGATATCTTGAAGGTCTTGTTGGCGGCATAAAGCATCAAAGAAGTAACAGTCATTCTTGAACTGGTCTTCCAAAAAGAAATGAGCTGTAGCCAAACTTTATGGCAAAGAAATATATAAAAGACAAGTTGACTTTCTCTACCTAACGCTTTGTTTTTTTGAAGGAAACATTATTTTTTTTTCCATTAGGACAGGTTATTGCAAAAGGATCCTTAACTTGTCTTTCAACCAAATTAGTCAATTTCCATTTTTTTGCCAATAGAATGATTGTTTTCTTTTCACAACATTTCATTCTTTACGTTACGGAAACTGCTGTTAATTTATAATGCCTTTCTCCATGGTTGTTGCATGTTGTAAACTACTCATACGTACAGGAGACGCCAGGGAACTCAAACATGTCACCGGGAACTTGTAAAGCTGTCCGCCATTCAGCATTTATAAAAGCAATTGTCTATTTCAATATTTTTCTGATTATTCAGTTATATTTCTGACACTTGTAAGCATACAGCTCTACTTGCAGCTACATGTACCTTCTGATGACCTCTGTTTGAACTTTCAGCTTTTCATTCTAAAAGAGGCCAACTCCACTTTCAAATGCTTTTTCAGCTTCCCTCGAGAAGCCAGTTGTCCAACATAAGATGCTCAGGGATGTGTAGGAGAGAAATGAGGCAAGCAGTGTTGCCCAAAATAAGAGGCCTTACAGAAAGCACATATAAAATTATCCTTTTTTTCAGGCAACACAGCCAGCACAAAATTAACCTTTTTCATAATTACTGACCTTGCTGATCTTACTGGTGTTGTAAGATTGGCCTGAGCTGGTGTATCCACAGTGCTGACAAGATCCAAAAGATTTTCCCAGAACACTGCTTGTTTGTTCCTAGATTTGTTACCCTAAAAACAAAAAAGATGTGCACTCTCACCAAAATGAAGGAACATGCCATCATATTGCAGCTGTTTGAGGGTAGCGTTATGGTTATAAGACTTTGGAAACCTCAGAGGTACTAATGTACATCTACAACACTTCATAATATAGTTAGTACATCGTCAGGTCGTTCAAACAGCTTCCCAGAAATTAAGATGTGAATTGAACCTTTTTTGAATCCTTTCAACTACCAGTAGATGAACAAATCACAAAAACTGGAAAATATTATTTAAGTTCATGGATTACAAAATTATATTTTTTAATCGTTCCTGTAACCTTCCTTTCTGGGGTTTTTAGTCTCGTGTATTTGGCCATTTTTGAAACCCTTTTTTTGGTTTTTATAGCATTGAAAAAGCAGGAAGAAACAAGAGGGAAATAATTAATTGAAATGTGCAGTTTTTCCAGTTTCTTGTCTTTTGCACATTGTTTTGCCCAGCTACCCCTTTCCTATGGTAACATTTTGCCCTATGTGACAAGTACGTGTTAATGTTGGTTTAGAGGAGGGGTAGGTGGGCAGCTTCCCAGAAACGTATAATGATCCGTTTTTTTTTTTTTTTTTAATGTAGCGTACATGTAGCTTTTGGTTTCCAGGAAAAAATAAACTGGGCGAAAAATACAAATAAAAATTAAACCAGAACATTATTATGAGGTAAGATCTTTCAGGATGGCATTTCAACAAGTTAGATACAGATGTAACATGATCAAGCATAGAATTTTTCATAAACTTCAGACATATTATCGCTACTGCACGATGCATCATGGTTTACAAAAGAGGCATGAGATCTGTGAAATTGTGGATTTTGAAGTTTTTAAGGGGTTTGAGGTTTCTAATAATTGTCCCTAATGCTGCCCCCTGGGCCTTCCTATTTACAATAATTTTTTTTTTTGTTGTAAGTAAAAAATCTGTTATCAGGTTCAACCAGATTTCCTTTGTCTCCTATGCATAATAATTATCCCTAATTATCAGGATTAGAAAATAAACGAAATTCTGGTTTAAACCAGATTGAACACTGGTTTAGCCTGAGTCAAGAATGAATTTTACCTTTAACATACACTTTACAATGTATGTACCCTCTGTGCCTCTGTTTTTTACAATGGACTGCATTTTGCAGCAATGTATATACATTTTTAAAAAATAGTAATAATTGATTTTTTAAGCAAGTTGTATTTTTTCACATGAAAGTACCTGTACAAGTTCAATATCATCACTTTTACACAGTCCTAAGAGATGACAAGCAAACAGAAGTTCTGCAAATAAAGCAAACCCATTAATGTGTTTTAAATGTCACACTTTTTATTCCAATCAAAAAGTCAACAGAGCTTCACTCAGTAGTGCAAGTTATTTATTACTGCAGTAAAAAGAGTGACAATAAGTGAATTTAAAGACGGAAGATCAAAGACTTGTTGATTTGATGTTGAAAAATAAATGCTGTCAGCCTTGATTTCATCTTACTTTGAAGCCTTGAGTCATTTCTTCCAAATGCTTTACTTTGCTGATTCTCCAGGATGTTGTAGATGACTGGATCAAACCTGTGACATGAAAGTGCCCATGAAAGGCGTTTGGGAAGCAGGTTATCTACATCTATATTGAGTAGTCAGCAGAAACTACACATGTATGTACTGTTATCACGCTAACATCAAATTAAGAAGAAAAAGATTTAAGTGAGTGGATCCATAGTTAAAGTTATTTGAGTGGATCCATAGTTAAAGAACGTTATTAATAATTATGAAAAAAAAAAAGATTACACAGTGAAAAAACAACCTCATAAGGCCTAAAATTGTGGAGCTACTTGGCCGAAAAATTATGGAACTCAGCTCCAGATCCTTTAAGGACAAATTCAAACTTTAAAGTTTTTAAAAACAACTTAAAAAACATCGACTTTGTTAAACAGGGTATTGCCTGCACAATTGATTTGATTTTCTTGATGAAATTTGTTTGTACTCCAAGTATACAAAAGCAATAACTACGTAACCCATACCCAAACATTGGTTGAGTACCCCCTACCCTTATAACCAGAAGATCACATGACTGTGACTAGTCACAAAAACAAAGAAACAAAAACTCAAGATAAAGAAAAAGAAGTGACAACTGCAATGGCAAAACATGACTTATGAAGTTTTGCATGCTGAGCAGAGTTTCGCCGGTTCAAAAAAGGCAAAAGAAATGACTGGACTTGACAAGTAACAAGGGGGACAGTTGGTTTTACTGTTGAGAAAAGTCATTTCAGCATTTCGTGTTTCAAAAATGCCTAAGGGGGCTATGGATTTTTTGTGGGGCGAGTATTTGTTAGGTTTTAGGAGGGAGCAATTAAAAATCTCTCCCAGTGTGACTGAAGGTACTAGGGAGCCATAAAAAATTCTCAATAAAAACAAGAAGAATCAGTTAACTCATATTTATTTAGTATTGAAATATAGAATGAGGTGGGGGAAGGAACAAAAAAACACCAAATAATAGGGTGGTATCCAAAAATTGCCAAGGAGCAAACAATCTGAAATCACCAGAACCACCATACTCTACAAAAATTATACCTCTCCCGTTAACCAACTGCCTCGCTTAAGTGGAAGGTGGGTGCCTGGGATACCCAGGGGCTTCCACTGTGGCCAGCCAGCCCCTAGATAGAAAAACTGCCCCCATGGCTGGCAAATCCCCGCAACCCAGCCATGAGCCCCCATTCCAGGCACCCGTCACACTGATCAAACAGTGGAAGGAAGAAAAATAGGGATGGGATGGGGGGGAAGACGCTAAATGAACCGCTCCACAGACCACTGCACAAACGCTCGATGAACAACTCGCAGATCCTAGCCATGTACAAAGCTACCACACACCATGTGAGCCTGCACTTATGGGATTGACCGCTGGATGCCCGCTACGCTCGTGGGCCGCTTGACCCCTAAGCTTGTGGACCGCTTGACCGCTAAGCTTGTGGACCGCTAGACCGCTTAACTTGTGGACCGCTCAACTGCTAAGCTTGTGAACCGCTTGACCGCTATGCTTGTGAATTGCTTGACCGCTACGCTTGTGAACCGCTTGACCGCTAAGCTCGTGGTGGTTAACTTAGTTAAATTACATTTAACCAAATTAATACTTGGGTTGGGGGAGCACATTAAATCAGAGAGCTTACGAGCTTACTTTGCTAAACTCCACTGCAGGAGTCTCAGTCTTGGCTCTCCAGGCTTAAACAACAATTCTTCTATCCATGAATCCTCAACGCCCCCTAAATACGGGCAACCAAGTTCCTGATTTAAGGAAAGATGGACAGATGTAACAAACATTTGATATTGGAGATACAGAAGAATTTTAAAACTGGTTTATGTGAGCCCGGGAGGTTTCATACTTGGAAAAGTTTAATACGTACAAAGAAGAGATGCATAAATTGAAAAAATTATAAATAATACGGTCACATTTACCTCTAATTTCGATCGAAAGTGGACCAACCTTTCCCTGTTCGCAGCCGCCATTTTTTCAAACAGGCCTCCTCCCAAAGCACCATGGTATTGGGCCCAGTCACATGACGATGACAGCAATCCAAGATGGTGGACTTCCTTGCGGAAAACAACGCTTGTGGACAGACCGTGTTGAAGCTCGTTAGCAGAGGAAATGCGATCGTTGCAGAGCTTCTCCGGCTTTCCGACTTTATACCGCCAGTGTTTAAGCAAGAAACGAAAGAAGATCGCGATAAATATGGCGAGATTTTGGCGGACTTCTCCTATTTCAAAGGTCCCGATTACTACGAGAACCGCATAGATTCTAAGCCGGTAAGCTTAAGTAAAATGAGCTGCTCAAATGTTACGTAGCTATTTCTTTTCTCTATGGAGGTACTCGTAATTCTCTTTACTACCCCGTATATGCTACAAAAAAAGAGGAATCCTTAAACGGAAGACTAGCATGGCTCGGAACCGAGACATCAGCTGTTTGTTATCATAAAAATAATTATTTTTATGGGTAGGGCTGGGCGGGAGGTTGGGGTTCTCCAGAGGGGTTATCGTTTTGGTGGATTGTGTTAATTTCATTATACCACTAAAAGATCAATTTAGAGCATGGGGATATTTCTAAAAAGTTAGCCAACTTTTTATACACCAACTTTTGAAATTTGATTTACATCAATTTTTGCTGTTGTAATTGTAATGATAATTTATTGTAATTTGTTTACCCATTGAGCTCTTAGGAGTTCATAAGAACTTGTTGATACGTGTTCGTGCGTCCCAAATCGAGTTGGAATTTGGAAGTGTCAGTTTTTAAGCAGATGGGAAAATTGGAGTACACGGGGAAAAACCTCTCGGAGCAAGGGAGAAAACCAACAACAAACTAGATGCACATATAGCATCAATGCCAGGATTCGAACCTGGGCCACATTGGTAGGAGGCGAGTCCTCTCACCACTGCACTATACCTTTTCTCCCCACCCTTGTTATAAAATGGAAAAGCTCGCCCTTCTCCAGACCCCACAGAAAGAGAATTACAGGTGGATGGAGGCACTTTTGATCAGAAAATGTTCCCAGGCAGGAAAGAGTTTTTTTATCTTTAAGAAAATATATGGAGACAAGTTTGGAGAATTTCAAAGTGCTGAGTTTGTTGTCATACCGCTGTGGTCTTGGAGACCCTACCCATCTCAGACCTAAAAGCTCAATATGTCACCCCATGGCGGCCATAGGGGTTAATTTGTTTACCACAGCTCTGACTGGACAAGAAGGGAGAGGGCAACATACACTGTACACTCCCCTATAAGACTGAATTATGACATTCACTTTTTGTCTTTAGGAGCTGCAAGATCTAGATGAAGAATTTAGAGAAAATCACATTGAGATCTTAACCAGATTCTACAAAGCGTTTGAAAGTGTTCACAAGTATATCACTGATCTGAACAGGTAATTTAGCCACTTTGTTGGTCCTAACAGTAATTTTGAAAAAGTAAATATTTGCAGGAGCTTAATTCTTGAAAATGAAAGGAAAATACAGTTTAGCTGAACATTGTGGTGAGTTAATTTGTCAATTTCTCCAACATTACTGTGATGATTGATAAAGTCTTTTCGCTATTATGATTCTTCAGAGCAGCGGTGGATAAAAGATTCATCTGCTTATTAATTCTTTTTCCTCCGTTTTCATCATTGTCAAGATCATCATTAACTGAGTTTCTTTTTCATAGACTCTAAATAAAATAGCATAATTGTACCAGATCACAGAAAACTTGACTTTTCAGTAGGCACTTCATCACTTGGTTAATGTCGTTATAGGTATCTGGAAGATCTTGATGAGGGAGTTTTTATACAGCAGACACTAGAGAGTGTGTTGCTAAATGAAGATGGAAAACAACTAATGGTAAATATGTTTCTTTATAAGAATTTGCTTCATTTTAAGTACTGGTCAAAGTTGGAATGTGTTGGAAATAAGCATACATCACTATTGTTTGTATTTCAGTGAAAAGATAATCGAAGAAGTGACCGAATACCTTCTGATTGACCAGCGCTTACATTAGGCTTTTTTGGTGTCAAGATATACATTTACATTTTGTTCAAGAAACATACTATTTTTTCCTGCTTGCAATAACTGTCTTCTTATAAAGGGATGTCTTAAAATTTATTAGCATTGTTTAATACTGTAATGTTTTCTTGCTGATAGTGTGAAAGCCTCTACCTGTATGGCATTATGCTTCTTGTCATTGATATGAAGTTTGAAGGGGATGTGCGGGAAAGAATGCTCGTTTCCTATCACAGATACTGGTGAGACATTTTAACACATACAGTTCAAAACAGGTGTTAATGCCAGTACTTCATGTTTACCCTTGGAGACATTAGAAATTATTGTTGGGCATTTATTATAATTTTTTGTCTTTCATTCTTTTGTTAAGTACATGTACGATGCAAATCCTTAGCTTCAAAGTGATAATCTTTGGGAATTTAACTATCCCGTCTTCCCATTACAATGTAGGATTTGATTGGATATGTGCCAAGGCAATTTTTTGTGGGACGTGTCCTATGGCTGACTGTCATTTACAGCTCTTCTCAAGAGTAAAATAATCATTTTTCCTCTAAAAAGCCTAAAAACGTTTAAGCAAAAATGCTGGGGTTCAAACAGTGCGGACAGGGCTCAAAATAATGGCTGATCAACAGACAATGTCTTGACTGATTGGGGAGTTGACTGGTCAACCTTTTGTCTTGCCGGTCAAGTTGACTTGTCACATTTGATCCTACTGAAAATAAAAAAATTAAAATTTCAATGCTGTTCAGTAATTTGTTATCAGTACGCAGCGAGCTGCTTTGTGTTGCGGAACTTTGATCTGAAATCCTGGGTGTAATGCAACTAGAACCATTGTTTAAAATTCGCACATTGAAACAGACATCGGAGTTCACATACCCCCGAGTTAAAATGCCTGGTTACTATGCTTTTTCTCGATCAATACAAATTTTCCTCCCTTGTAATGGGGAGTAACATGGATTGCTGGCAGAGTTTTAGGATCAAGTTCTCACACCATGATATGTACAACAGAAATTATTATATTTGGAGGCGCCGGACAAATTTAATGCATTCGATAATGATATTTAACGTGTTAATTACGGGTTAGTCTCACAGACAGTGTTCCTTTTAATACACCCAAGCTTATTTTCATTTTGCTGCTGTAATTTATTTTTATTGTTGACAATGAGTGCTTTCAGTTAAAGTGCTAAAAGCTCTAAGCAAAGCCTTTTTTGGAATATATATAATGCCAGTTTTGGGTCATGAGCCCCCATTTTAAGAGTTATGAATTTATCTTATAAGTTTGACCGACCAGAAACGATGCGTGAAAGGACTAAAATGAATTTGGCTGGTCATCGTGTCTGGAGACTCAGTCTTGGCTCTAAAAAGTCTGAGGCTTAGTGGAATAAAAGAGATAAAGTCACATTCAGGTTCATGGAAAAATTATTGATAATTGATCTAAGCCTTATAGCCAAGTATGAATTTTAACAAAAAAAATTATATTGAAAATGGCCTATTGCGACAAATTTATACTCTCTAAACATAGCTTACATAGATTTAGTACAACTTCCTACATTATCAAAGATTAGACTTTTATTTATTTTGATTGGATGATAGGGAAGGTTTTTTAACCTGTAATTTTAATATTTTGCTATTTTAGTGCAGCAAGAGCAGATGTTGACTCCAACATTGATGATGTTTGTAAGCTTCTTAGAAGCACAGGATTTTCCATTGCTCCTGGAGCCAAAAGACCTATCAAGTATCCAGAAGATTACTTCCGGTGTGTACTTATGTCTTATGCAGGAATTCTTTTTTTACTACAGAAGTTCTCCTATTTGGCAGTTCTACTTGTGGCCTTTGCATAGAAACACGAGGGAGCTATTTAGCAACAATGAAGTCGATGGTGACAAAAATGTTCTTAAAAAGTGATTACATGCTGTTTCAAAATCCATGGCTCTTTTTCATGTTGTTCGATTTTTCAATTGTTGGTGAAATTTTCTGGATAAAAGTTGTATTCTAAAGGACTTAGTCAACAAAACGTGATATTAGACAGCTTCACGTCATGATCTAAAAGCATTCTTGATAGGTGCGGAAAGGAGGAATGAAATTTTGCAACAAGGTAAATATTTTGATGGCACCTGTATACCCACATTAACGTTGTTATATATCGTACAGGATTGTGTTTCTCTTTATCAAACAGAGTTTTGAAAAAAAAAAAAGTCAGATTTATTATGTGAGCAGACAGCATTCTGTACTTCTGTGACAATTTGCTGTTGGCTGGAGTTTCTAGAGAACTTCGTCTAATGCTGAAAACCAAGTGACAAATTAAATTATTTTATTAAACCCTGCCTTTGGTGTTCATATGGTTGAATTTTTTCTAGGCGTATTTCAGTACCAGATACTTTAGTTGACATGCTGATTGGTCGCCTGCGGTCTGACGATGTCTATAATCAGGTCAGCTATGTTGTATTTCTCTGTTTGTCTAACCAAATTGTAACCCAAGTGTTATACATTAGTTACTAGGTAGAGAGTGTGTCAATAATGACAATGTTTTGTTTTTTCCTGAAGATGGCCCTTTTATACATATTATTCTAATATTTGAAGCATGAACATAACTCTGTATTGTTTGATTGTTAATGTGTTGATGTGTTTTGTTTCCCAGATCTCAGCTTATCCTCTGCCTGAGCATCGTAGTACAGCACTGGCAACTCAAGCTTCCATGCTGTATGTCATTTTGTTTTTTGCACCTGACATTCTACAAAATCAGCAGGCAAAAATGAGGGAAATAGTTGACAAACATTTTCCTGATAACTGGGTAAGGACCAAATTATGATTATTTTGTTCTTTTAAGTGCTGCAATACAAATGATGATCTTCCAGACAACTACCAATCTGAATAAGAGTGTGACAGATCACCACTGCTAGTGGTTATATTGCTGACTTCTCAGTGCTTGACGCTGACTTGTTTGGACATTAGGCAATGGGCTAGGAAGTGAAAAGTGAGCAATCCTAATCTCCAGGTTGTTATAATGCATGAGTCACATGTATGTAGCAAGCATCTGTTTGGACTTCCACTAAGAATGTATGGAATGCACAGAACGCACTTTGATCACGCACGTTTGGACCTTCTATCACTCGTAATCTGATCATGCATGTTTTGACCATCATTCTGTCACATGAAACTTATGCAAAGCACTGCGCTGGAGCAAAAGCATTTTGACCTTCGATCATTGTTGCTCGCACTCCATAACCTTTGGTTATTACTAGTTTCAGTGTTATCTAATCCCTGAGCTTCAGCTTACTTTCATGACTTCATTGTCAGCGGGTGGGGTGGGGCTGTTCCCTAGAGGGGTCATGAACATTTGTGTCTTTGTATGATGGGGTGTCATTTAAATATTCTTGTATGTAGGCAAAGTAAATAGAAGCAAATTTATCCCTTCTGCTTATTCTCATATTGCTGCATAAACATCGATAATAACTGTAGTTCGTGATTTAAACATATAATTTTCCCACCAGGTTATCAGCATTTACATGGGAATTGTTGTAAATTTAGTTGAGGCATGGGACCCCTACAAAGCTGCCAAAACAGCACTGAACAATACTCTTGATGTGACTAATGTTAAAAATTTGGTAAGAATGTCAAGTCATTCATTCTTTCATTCTTTGCCTTGCTTGTTTGTTCATCTGTTTGTTGATTCCCATTCTGTGTGATATTACGCAGACTGTGATCAGTCACTTTATTATTTTGTTCTAGAAATTGTAGGTGGGTACATTTGTTTTGATTGGGGAGTGATCATCATACTTCTCCTTATTTTGACATGGCTAGCATAATCTGGTGAATGTTATCTGCCCTGTGCACCCCCAACTCCTATTCTCAGAATAGTTTTGTTCTCTCCCTGTACTCGCAGCCAATTTGGATATTGTAAAACAATGGATCCATGATTAAATGCTTTGCAGTGTGTTTACAGTGTAGTACCTTGATCCAAAAAGGATGGAGTAAATAATTGCACAGGGCCTAGTTATACACTTACTGTGTAATTTTCTTTTTCTTTTTGTAGGCAAGCAGATTCAATACCAAAGTTAGGAGTTTAAATGTGGAGGTAAGCAAATTGTTTGGGGTTTGGTATGTGGAGGATGCTTGCTATTAAACTTTGTGATTGTACATGTGCATAACCATTATGAATGCATATACATGTACATAAAGGTAATGGTAAACCATAAATCACCAATGATATTGTTGCTTATTGTTGCTTATTTTTAAGTAAATCTAACATGATTATAGGTAATACATTAATTAGTAAAGGAAAATTAATTAAGTTACATTATTCTTAGGTGGTGAATTACCTCAAAGAAGGAGCTCTCACTGAAGAGTATGTGTTGGATCACATTCCAAAACTGATGAACTGCTTGAGAGATTGTAATGTAACACTCAGGTGGCTCATGCTTCACAACTGTGAAAGTAAGTTTTTGATATGCATTAAATATGCATTAATATTAGTAATAATTAACAATATAATAATAATAATAATTTTGATAACAATAAAATTAATAATGATAATGCTAGTAATAATAATAATGATAACAATAGTATTGATAACAATAATGATAATAATCGTGACACCGCCACTGGTTTCCTCATGAATTGACGACTAAGTAATGACTTCAGATATTCCATGCTGATGACCTGTCTCTACCCAGATCTTAGTAGTGCTTCTGATTGGTTGAAGAAACTTTCCCTCAGGGCATGACTAATCAGAAGCAGTATGGGTAGTGAAGCATCATCAAAATGGAATTTCTGGGGTTGTCCCTGCCTAACACAAGAATGTTGTAAAAATAATACTCAAAGTTTTCAGGAAAGCAGCTTTGCATTGACAAAGTGTATTCTAGTGTTTTATCACAGGGATAATAAATGTAACTTTGTGATTTGTTTTCACACTGATAGTGTTTGATATGCATAAGAGATGCCGTTCTCTCAGAGAGATGGTGACCACAACTGGATATGATCCAAGAACTGTCTTTGAGTTGCTGCTGAACACTGCACAGTTTGAACTCAATCTCAAGGAGGTTCAGTATCATACAATAACATGTTACAAATTTTCATTGCTCTGCTGTACATGTACTACTTTTATGAGTGTCTGCAGTTATTGGCAGTACAGCTACTGAGGGCCTGTCCCTACCCATACAACCATGAATGAGGCTAGTTAAGGCATTAAATAACATTAATAGTTCATTCCCTTGTTGGTACTCCCGACCTAATTATTAGACTTGATAATTACATATAAACTACCCATTGCTGGATTTTTTTTTTCACTCATTCGCATTGTAATAAACTAAAGCTGGGTTTTGGAACAATGGTAACCATGTTATTCTTGGCCTTTTTTTTTTTCATCTTAAACATGTTTAAGTACTGTCACAGTTTAAGTAATGAAAAGTAAGAACACAAACATAGTACCCATTTCTATAGTATGGCTTTAGACTCTGAATGAAAGAGTTAAAACATAATATTTGTAATTTTTGGCTTCCTCAATCAATTTAGATGTTCAAGCAGATGTTAGCGCAGAAACAAGTGCAGTGGGAAAAACACAAAACAGAAGGAGTTGAACGTATGGATGAACTGTCAGAAGTGTTTTCTGGGACCAAACCTCTTACAAGGATACAAAAGAATGGTACGTGACCTACCATGGTTTAACAGAAGGCTAGCCATTTTAAGACTTATATTGGCTGGCATCAACATTATTTCCATATAGATGAGCCACATTTGTAAATGTTGTAGTTAATTTTTTATCTCAGTTAATTTTTATTTTTCAATTGGTTTTGGGCATGGTAATGTATACTAATAATGCATTTGAAACAAACGAAAAGTAAAAATTTACTGAAATAAAAAATTAATTGCAGCATAAACAAACGGTACCGAGAATGGAGGTCAAAATTTGGAAGAAAAATATTTTTGTCACCAAATTTATTGCTTATTCAACAAAGAGCTTTAAGTAAAGTTCAACGAAAAAGAAAGAGTGAAACAGGGTGCAAAGAAGGTTAGTTTTAGTCGTTTTACAGCTTGCCTGTTGCTAGTATGTACTAGCCTAAGAGTCATTTTAACTAACCCCAATTTTTTTTTGTTGAGCAGGATTGAATACAGTTCTTTTGTAATTTAAATTCTCCCAAAAACATCACTTGCCCATTAAGCAAATTGAGGGCAGAATTTGCTGGCCCAATAGCAAAATCCACTAGCCCTGGGCTACTGGACATGCTTTTTTTGCATACTGTGAAACTAAACACTGATAAACACTCTTTGTCACTTGTAATTAATCAGTTGACAGGGTCATATAATTAAACTATTAAAATCTGACTTCAGGCACTTAGTAATTTGACAAATGTGGCTAATATGACCATCAAAACCCTTGTCTGCAGAAAATCTCCAAGCTTGGTTCAAGGAGATGTCCAATCAGATTTCATCCTTGAATTATGACGATTCTACTTCTGCCGGCAGGAAAATGGTGCAGCTTATTCAAGCCTTGGAAGAGGTTGTTATTAACACTCATCTGGCATTAACACAAAAGAAGTAACTGTCTTTCCTGGTCCCGCCACATCCCTACTATGACAACACCGGGAACAGCCTAAACTAACCAAAATCCAAATTCCTTAAAGTGAATATATACGTATACATACATACAACCTTTTAAATATTTATACACGAAATTAATTCAAGGCTACAAGCTTGTGGGGTCATGTGCAAATGAAAATGAAAGTCAACCAAGCAAATTGGAATTCATGAATAACAGTTTGACAAATTAGAATTCATGAATAATAGTTTGATGTGCTATGTTTAGTTAGGACTGTGCTGCTAGATATGTTTAATGGCCCCCAGTGACTTACTGTGCTTCACCCTTGGACAACTTAAGTACAAAATGTTAGTTATTGCATTAATCTTATAATGCTTGAAATCCTTGTTTTAAAAGGTTCAAAGGTTTGGGCTCCCTTCAGTGTTTCTTAGAGCACAATTCTTGAGAATTACGTTAAGCTACTGGTTGTATGTAATACTGTAGTGACACAAGTAACAAAAATTAATAGTACTCGACGTTGTATTCCACTGCACAGTTTGCTAACATCATGAAAATGAGCTTCTTAATTTGCCTCTTCAAGGTTCAAGAATTTCATCAGCTAGAAAGCAATCTTCAAGTGCGACAATTCCTGCTGGAAACAAGACAGTTCTTACATCAGATGATCAGGACAATTAACATCAAGGAAGAGGTATGTATAATGTCTGAGAATAACTTTTTTTTAAGCATTTCAATGTACTTCAAATCAGTTTCCCCACATTTACTTCAGATTTAAGTTCGTATCAAGGAGTAAATACAGCAGAACCCCTTTTGTCGTAGAGATGGTCTTTTCCAGGCATTCAGATTGTAGAGCGCGATCGAAAAATATTAACAAGGAAAAAAAACAGGTCAGACTCCCCTCGTTTTTTCCTCTAGTTTCCTCCGCGTACCATTTAACTCGCTCACCACCAGGACGGATAATGCTCCCCACCATCTAAACACCACACTCTGCTATCTGAAGGCCTGGGACAGGCTATTGTAAAGAGAGCAATGATATTTTTTACCCCAATGTAGCATGCTGTAGCATGTATGCAACAAGTCCCCAATATCACGTGCACCTTCCATTTCTTTGGTACTTGGTTGTAATGATTTTCCAAGTCTGTATTGTTAAAGCCACAGCACAATTTTGGCTGTTAACATACTTGTCAATGTTGGAGATGTTGGGACTGAGTTATTGTTGCTTAAGTTGATTTTTGCTTGGGAGTCAACGATTCACATTAACTGTGGAGTGTTTCTTAGGGGAAAAAAACTGAACCAGTGGAACCTACCTGTCCATAACAGTTGCCTCTTTAAAATGCTTACTGACTTGCCACTGACCACTAGGTGGCCATTGAAAACATTTTTTTTCACAGAAATCCAGGTGTACAATTAGGATTTCATAAAATATGACTTGTAGTAGATGATGCTGGGATGGGTGGGCAATAGATTTTCTGATAGTCATTGTTTTGAGTCTTTCCAAAGGAAGTTGCAGGCGTACTGATAAACATTGCCCGCTTTTTTCATTGCATTGGTTAACAAGCATTGATAACAAAATTTTTTTTACAATGCCTTTGCAGGTTTTGATCACTATTCAGTTGGTTGCTGATCTGTCATATGCATGGATTATCATTGATAGGTAAGAGTTATGTTGTTTCCCTGCTCTGGTGCAAAGTGCATGTCACTCAAGGGAAGGAGTTTGAAAGAATGAACGAGATTTTGTTGTCATCCTCCGAATACAACCGTGACTAGCGGCGTGGAGTTATGGTTGTATTCACAGGCTATTGTTATGTTTGTACTGTGGATGTTTGAATGCAATATTGATATATTTCTTGTAACTGAGAATGGATGAATCAGGTTCGATAGATGAAAAAGTTGAGAATGTATGGCAGATGGACATTTGGAGGGATTGAATTCCAACACATTAGCATTCTTAAATTTAAAATTAGATAAAAACATTTATTCAAATAAAATTCATATCAATGATTGTTGCTTTTCAGACATATTAATGCTGTTGTGTTTATTTTAAAGTTATTCTGGATTCATGCAACAAGGAATCAAGAGCAATCCTCAATTAGTTCAAAAATTAAGAGCTACGTTTCTCAAGGTAAAATTCAGTTGTATTAATATCTGTGCATAGAGGTTTCCTGGAATTGACATCACAGTTGTAATACAGCTGCACGCGTATCGCTATTGTTTAACATTAGAGACCTTGTGATTCAAGGACGAGGAGGACTACGAGGACAAGATTTAAAAATCAGGGGTGTAGCTAGGGGGGGTTCTGGGGTGCCCGTGACCCCCCCTTGGTAGGCCTTCTTTTGAGCAAACAACCTACAATATTTAGGTGGCGAAAACGCCATGACAATATCATGGCCGTAAAAGCCATTGTTGAAAAGCCCACTTTTTTAAAATTTGTTTTTTTGTAAAGTATTGTCGTCAACGGCTCTTGTCTTTGGTTAATATGGGCCTTCATGCCTTCACGCCACATTAAGTAAAACGTAGCCTCTGTGACCCCCCCCCCCCCCCTTTGAAAAATCCTGGCTACGCCCCTGAAAATAGGCACCCCGCAAAGTTTCATCGTACGTTTTTTTACCAAAAACGTTAGCACGCTCATTTTTATTGAAAGAGTTAAAGCCTTCTCCCAATCGCAAAATGCTAAAACTTTGAACCGTTGATAGCTTGTTTCCCGCACATTCCCGCTAAAGCCCTTAGTAGAATGACAAAAGGCTATTGCGTTTTCTCTTCTTCCTCTTATAGATGGCTTCAGCCATGGATCTGCCACTTGTGCGGATTGGTCAGGCGAACAGTCCTGATTTAATGAGCGTGTCTCAGTATTATTCCGGCGAATTAGTGGCTTACGTCAGAAAGGTAAGACAACTGACTCGTTTTCTTTATGCATATGAATGACACTTAGGTTTCTGTGAAAGGTTTGAACCCAGGAGTTATTCAAAAGTAGGTTGAGTTTGATCGTCCGGGTGAACGTAGTCCTGAATAGGACTGTTGTTGTTGGCAGTGACTGACGTTTCGACAACCCGTGCGGTAGTCATCTTTAGAGTCAAAGTGAGTTGTATCACGTCAGTTGATGGTATTATACTCTGGTTATGGGTCAAACAAAGTCACCAACAGTCTTTCTCCAATTCAAAGGCTAGGTTGCTTAGTCAGATACAAATGAAAATTGAGCTATTGGACGACGATTCATTACTTTGAGTTGTGAAATGTTTAAACAAAAAATTATCTTCATTCAATTCTTTGGCAGAATCCTTAATTCGACAGATTTAAGGTTTTTGATGATCAAACTTTCACTTAATATTAAATTGACTAACCGATGAATCTAACAGTTCAAAGGAAAATCTTGTTTTAAATTTTCTTGTTCTCTAGCACTTTTGCCAAATCGTAGGGGAAAAAAGCAGAAAAACAGAAGAGAGAAAACAAAACTAAATTTTAAACTTTTTTTATTATTTTGGTGTGCAAACTTGAAGTACAGCTTTGCATCTGCCTCATAAAATATTAATTAGTTGATGAGGTAGGAAAAATAAGTTGATAATTTTGGGTCGTTTTGTGTAGATAGCGGCCAGCAGATGTCTCAGTTTTGTAACCTCGGGCTCCCTCGAACTCAGATTCTCGGAGACGTTTAAGAGAGTTTGAATACTTCTCATGCACCAAGTGAAGGGCTTTCGATGAAGTGAAGTTATTTTTTTTTTTTAGGTTTTACAGATTATTCCTGAGACTATGTTCGGTTTACTGGCAAGGATCATTCAGCTACAGATTAGTAGCGTAAAGGAGGTTGGTAGTTGAGGACGACCTCTATTAAAGCGTCATCATTATTGTTAAAAAATTACGTTATATGAAAGTTAGTTTACACGTGTATTCTGATCGTCTATTAATGAATTCCTTTAGGTTCCCACCAGGCTGGAAAAAGATAAACTGAGAGAATATGCACAGTTGGATGAACGATACCAGGTAATGTTGTCTGGCTATTGAACAAGACAGTAATACGCTTTCGAGTTCTTGAATTCTTGCCCGCACAAGAAATCAGTTATTCATGACAGAAATAAGCAAGAAACAAGGAAAATGCGTGTGGATCGTATAGACTTCAGAATTGAAAGTCTTTCAGTTGTTCAAGACTGATCTTTCCTCTGTTCCTCCGTTACAATTTAGTTTACATGGATGGGAAACTTTGTTTCAAATGGACTATTTGCACGATGACGTATTTTTACTACTAAGACCAGAATTCATTTCGCTTTTCCTTTCATATTTAAGTTTGGTAGTCTCAGTGAGGTTTAAATAGCAAAAGCCTTTAATTGCACAAGAAAGCAATACCCTGAAGGATTCTGGTCGTAATAGTAAAATGACGTCATCGTGCAAGTGGCCTGTTATCCCTCTTACCGATCCCGGAGATCCTGAAATAGACCAGAATCCCTTGTAGGCCAGAGTTTGTAGCATTTATCTTGAGTGTTTGTGTTACAGAGACCTGATGTAGCACCGCCGACCAAGTTGACCGTCTGTAGCCCGTCTTTGAGGTTACTCGCTGATCAGAAAATAGATTATTTTTTATTAAAGATGCCAGCCTCAGCCAAGTTAGATATAGACATCTCATGATAAATGCCGAAATAAGTAAAAATGTCAACCTCTAACCTGTTAAATGTTATTTATTCAGATTGCAAAACTGACCCACTCTATCTCAGTGTTTACTGAAGGAATTTTGATGATGAAAACCACTTTAGTGGGAATTATTAAGGTGAGAAGTGAATCAGATTTGACTGTCGAAGCAGCATGGCCGAGTGGGGGACTTGTAATCCGGAATCCCCGAGTGCACGTCCCACCCTGACCGCTCGTTTGATTTGTTTTCGCTTGTCCAATAGCCAACTGGTTCGCCTCCTACCAGTTGGGATTCGTAACCTTGTTATGTTCCATTTGAATAATTTGTTTCATTATTCCTGAAAAGCCTCTTGAGGGGAAAGTATAATTAATTGATCTAATATTTATGATTTGTGATTTTTTGATATTAAATTTTTATTTTAACTGTTTTATTGCGGCGACGTGGCGTTGTCTGATAATGTTCTCGACAACAAATTCTTCATCAGAGTTCTCTTTAGAAGTAACTTTGTATGTAAAGATCTGGCTGACGTTGTTTTATGTTTAGATTGATCCCAAGCAGCTTTTGGAGGATGGTATTAGAAAAGAACTTGTCAGACAGGTGGCCTATGCTCTTCATACTGGCCTCATATTCAATCCAAAGGCAAAGGTACGTTGTCTGAACACTGAACAGTGAAATTCTGATAATAGGGAGTTCATTTTACAGTCAATTGACGATACCAAATTTGTATTTCTTAGCCTCTTTCTTATCATAGAGACTGTTTGTCCAAAAATTTGGGCAAAAATATCGCTCAAGAATGAAAACGACCTCTTCCGGTCCAGTGACGTGCGTCGCTCAAAAACGTCTTTGCTTAAGCCCCCTAACATGATATCTACATGCAACGGGTAATTTGAATCGGACTACTAACGTGGTCGTTTAGCCTTTATAGCGCCGTTCATGCAGCTCAATACCCTGTAATCTTTTCTAGTATCGAAGTTATTTGAAATGAGTTTACGATAACTTGCTCGTGCAGCTCAGAGCAAACCTTAGGTCGATGACTGTCGCGTTCGATTTTTTCCCGCCATTTTGAACGTGGCGACCAAACTATGGGAAGATGACTTAACTACTTTTGGTACGGGAAGTGGGTCGCGACGATCTGCTTTCCCGCCCCCGCCCCCATACCCCAAGTAGTTTTGTCCCAATCCATAAAGGGTCAAGGACACAAGCGTCAAAGTTAGCCGCGTAACTTTTTACAGGTTTACATAGGGTCAGCTTATTGTCCGCGACTTGGCCGTGAACAACTAGATTATACGTTGTGGTTTAGCGTTTTAAATTATACCTAACGTAGGTAGCCTTATTTTCGTTTGTTAACAGCAATCTGAACTTGACATAAAATTGAAAGGGCTAGGAGGAAGAATGGATGGATTTCGTCGGTCGTTTGAGTACATCCAAGATTACATCAACATTTATGGTCTGAAAATCTGGCAAGAGGAAGTGTCCAGGATCATTAACTATAATGTGGAACAAGAATGTAATAGCTTCCTCAGAGAAAAGGTACTTGATACAATAGACTTGCGCAGCAGAGGCTAAATCATGGGCGGGGCCCATTCGTGTGGAGAAAACTTGCCCCGGGTAGAAGTAGAAGGGTCACTCGCTTATCCGAGCTACCCTGGGTGAGCCAACTTTTTCCACATCCTTTACAAAGCTTGGAAAACCGTTTAGAGTAGAGTAGATAACCTTATTTAAACACGGTTATTATAGCTAACTAAACTAACTCTGATTAAAAATATATTCATAAAATTTTAACTACCTAGCTATTTACAAATAAAAGCTGCTTTTCAAGGATGCCGTGTAAAACTGTATTAATGTATGATCTCATTCAAAACTGTTGCGACACAGTTTACGTTTAAAATCATGTAAAGAATCTGCAGATCTTAAATCATGGGATAGGCTGTTCCACAGCTTAGCTCCGTTATAGGAGAAACGTTTCTTTAAATAATTGGTACGGGGCAGTGGAAGGACTAATTTATTTTCAGTATTCCTCAATCGATAAGAAGTTATTTCGTCACGAGATACAAATTTAGATGTTAGATAGTCGGGAGTCATCCCATGTACGGTTTTATACATCATAATAGCCGTCGATACTTGTCTTTGGTGTTTAAGCTTACACCAACCCAGTGCCAGGAACAAATCGTCCACATTACAATCAGAATTAGCGGACATTAGAATACGGGCTGCACGATTTTGGAGCCTCTGCAGCTTATCGGAAAGACCAATGCCGCAGTTGCTCCTTACGACATTACAGTAATCAAAATGCAGTTGAATTAAACTGTCGTAAACATTAATTAATACGTTAAAAGGAATATGATGTCTTATTCTTTTAATTGCACCCAAAGCAGAAGCAATCTTTTTACAAATACTCTGTATGTGGCATTCCCAGCTTAAGTTTTGGTCAATATCCACTCCAAGAGATTTTGCCGTTGACACTTGCATCACGGGATGGTCGTTTATCATAAAAGGAGGAGTTTCAGAAATCTTTTATAGCTTCTGCCTCGACCCAACTAACATAAACTCAGTTTTAGTCAAGTTAAGGGTCAGTTTGTTAGCCGATAGCCATATATACACCTTGTTTAAATCGTCGTTAACGCAGTCATTTATGAGATTTAAATCTGCGCTGGCATAGGTTAGGCTGGTGTCATCGGCATACATTCTAGGTTGTGAAAAAGGCAAGCAATTAGGTAGGTCATTAATATACAGTAAAAACAATAAAGGTCCAAGAATTGTTCCCTGGGGAACACCACATGTAACTAATTTTGGGTTTGACATTGAGCAATTAATTTGGCAAGTTTGGGTACGATTGTTTAAATACGAAGTAAACCATTCGTGACAGGAACCGCGTAATCCATAATATTGTAATTTCGTTAATAAGATACGATGATCAACTGTGTCGAAAGCCTTTTTTAAGTCTAAGAAGACAACGGCATTGACAAGGCCACGATCAACGTTCACTGTCCAGCTATCGGTAGCTTCGAGTAATGCGGGTACAGGAGAATGTAAAGAACGAAAACCAGATTGGTAACGGGATAGAATACGATTCTCAGTAAGATAGTGATACAACTGGCCACAACTGGGATCACCGATATTGGTCGATAATTGGTGGGATCATTTCGTTTACCAGAATTTTTATACAATGGAGTAACCCTAGCCGACTTCCACTCATCGGGAAAAATTCCTGTCAACAGTGATTGATTAAATATTAAAGTAAGAGACTCGGCAATTAGATCAGGGCACTCCCTTAATAATCTAGCTGATATACTATCTAATCCAGTGGCCTTTGATTTACAAAGTTTTGAAAGGAGAGAATAAATATGAGCAGATGTTATTTCCTTGAAGACAAACTCCTTAGAAGTTCCACAAAGAAACTCTTTGTAGGTGGTATCAACATTCGAAACATTTCGACTAAGCCTTGGTCCAATCTCAATGAAGAAAGTGTTCAACAATTCAGCAACTTCTGCTTGATTGCTCGATTTTAGTCCCTGATATTGTATTTCATTTATTATTGTTTTATTAGATTTGCGGGAAGTCAATTCATTGATGGTCTTCCAGGTCTTACGTTGATCACCGGCATAATTATTAAAAGAATTATTATAATACGCCTTTTTAGCAGCCTTGATTTCCTGATTTACTTTATGTTTGACCTTCCGGGATCGATTCCAAGAGGACGCATCCTTAGTTTTAACAGCTTTTTTTTTAGCCGGTTTCTGAAATTCATTCGTTTTTTCAAATTTGTGGTAATCCAAGGAGACTTGGTGGGACGAGTGCGTTTGGTTTTCACAGGGGCGTGCTTATCACAAACACTTAGGAATAATTCTTTCCATTTTTTTCCACATGTCATTGGGGTCGTACAGTTCTTTGATATCGTCCCACGGTTGCGTCGAAACATCATTACGGAAATTATTGCTGTTGAAATGTTTAAATTGTCTATAGCTGATCAAATTGATTCCTTTAGAAACAGGCGGGATTGAAATTTTACGGTACGCGTAAACAAGACTGTGATCGCTTATACCCACGTGTGTCACCCCAGAACAGAGAATATTGTCTTGGTGACTGGTGAAAATAAGATCAATTAGGGTACTTGTTGAGTGTGTGACTCAAGTAGGCTCGTCGATTAATTGTTTTAAGCCATAAATATCGGTAACATTTAACAGAGCCCTTGCATAAATGTTTTCACTGGACAGCAAATCGCAATTCATATCACCCATAAGATAATGTTCAACATTCTCGGAATCAAGTCTTGCTAACAAGGAGTCAATATTCGAGAAAAGGTCTATAAGTGAATTTGGCGAGGTGCTTATAAGCGACAGTTTACGGTATCTAGCAATTGTTTCTTCTCAGGTACACGACTGGCAGTCTATTTACCAGTCCACCACAATTCCCATCCCAAAGTTCCCTCCGGTTGATGAGTCTGTGAACTTCATTGGACGGTTGGCACGGGAGATCCTACGAATAACAGACACCAAGTAAGCTTACAATTTTTTGCGCTAGAAAAAAAAAACATCCGTGGTGATTTGAAGTTCGTTAACGAGAGGTGGCTGTTTACGAGAGATCCCAACTATAGTGCTTTGAATGGAAAAAAAAAATGTTTTTTCTGCATATTTGATCACTTATGAGAGGTGTGGTTTTGCCTACGAGAGATTCTAACCAGTAGCATTTTGACTGGGAAAGATGAGTTTGGTTATTATGTTTATGTCGTCGCATTTGTGAGGTCGTCAATATAGGTTCAACTGTATCTTTACCGAGATATGATTCCGTTTTTAATTCTAATCCCCTTTGCTGTATTGCAGGACCACGTGTTACATTGATCAAATGGGAGCATGGTATGACAGCAGAACAAAGCAGGAAGTTATGAATCTACTGATTCTGAAGAAGCTTCAGCAGGCGGTCGGTTCCTTTGGTTTGACAGGTCTGGACAAACTGCTCTCCTTCATGATCGTCAAAGAACTGCAGGTTTGTTTATTTGTCATTTTTGTTTTCTTTTGGGTTGTTTTGTTGTTCCTGTTTTGTTTTTCGGCCCTTTCAAGGCCAGTAGTGCTCAAGTAATTGACTAATCCACAGTTTTTCTAAGTTTTTTGGCCCCTCTCTCTGAAACAATACGTATGCACTAGTACAGTATTTATATTAACCGCACTCGATAAAATAACTTGTATTTCCTTCAGAGTTGTTGAACACACTGCCTTGAAATTGAGAGCAAATACGGAAAACGCAGTTTTCCCGTGAAAAAGCCGCATTGGAACATGTCACATGTTCAAATGCATACGTGTATGAATCCACAATTGCTCTATGAAAATTTGAAGGAAGTTTAATTTTTTTAATTACACACCAACTTTTTCCCTTCAGTCTGTTTGTTCACTCGACACGACTGGCATTGTTTCGTTTTGTTTCTAGAAATTCCAAGCTCTTCTTAGGGGATCTCTCAAAGATAAAATGATAACGGACACTCTGACGGGACTTTCTAAAGTCCTTACTCCAGTAAAAAGTTTGATTGGTAAGTAGTATTTAGCGTCTGGAAATGTTAGTCTCCCATGGAACCTTTACGTCTTGTCATGCAACGCTCCTCCCCAGAGTGTCGCGTGACAGGACAAAAACGGCTGCATCTAGATGGCAGACTACTGGATATGTTTGCTTTACGATTAATTAGCACACTGCTGTGCGTTAGGCTTAGTCGGTGTTGTATCGAATGGTACAATTTCAACACACTCTCCTGCGCAACCTCAAAATAACCAATAAAAGAAGCGATAGCGTCATCAAAACATCCTCATAATACAATTTTCACAATACCGACTCAGTCTTCCTCCGGTGCAACGTCAAAATGTCCAATGGCCGAGCCTTTACTTAAACTGCTATAATATTGTTTCAGTGGTAGGTGGTATATTCACGAGAAGCCGCACTCCAATTTTTTTTTTTTTACCATAAGCTGCAGTAACCTCTCGACAAGACAACTAGCGTTTTTGCAAGCGAACACATCAGTCAGGATGGTGGCATAGTATTGTGATTGTTGGGTCGTTTGGGTCTGCGTCGTATTTGCAAGCTTGTAATGTCCTATAGAAAACAATCAAGCTTGTTTTGATTTGAAATAGTTGGTAACTGTATCTAATCGACAATGTGTTCAGCACGAGGTACATCACCCACTGAAGACCAACCACTTTTTCTGGCCAGCGGGGGTTATCTTATGTAGGCCAAACGCAGCCTTTTGTTCTAATAAAGCTAAGTCTGGTAAAAATTCTGTGGAGTTTTTATTCATAGTTGTTTTTCATTTGTTTTTATTCATTGTTGTTTATTGTGTTCCTTGTTCCTTGTTTTTGTTTAGCAACTCCTTACAGAGTGTATCCTCCGGTAACTCAAAAACTGGCCCGACTTTGGACGCAGTACTGTGAAGCTATAATGAAAGTACGCCAACTAATCACTTCTTTAAACCATTTTTTGTTGACTGTGACGGTGGATATATGCAACTTAAAACATCGCAGGTTTTCAAAGAAAACGCAAGAAATCTAGATTTAGAAGTAAACTAGCACACGGACGAGTAAGAGAAATTTCTAAGAGCAGCTGAAGAAAGTAGTGAAGTTACCAACGCAAGCCTCCTTTATTCTTCTTCCTAGTGAATTTTGTCCGCGCTATCGTTAACAATTAACCTTTTTCAATGCTTTCCTGTCATTTGGCGAGAAACTTGATACGGTATCCAAATTAATGATCGTTATTAGTTATTCCATGATCTAGTACTGATCAGTGATTGGCTGGTTGAGTTTGAAATGCATCCACTTGCTGGTGCCTATTGGCTAACGTCTCTTTCTCCCAGAGAGGAGGGGCAGTCTAGAGTTTGTCGTGACAGAGTTCGTCCAGTTTATAAATATTGTTGATTTGTTTTTCGTCCAGGTTGGACAGATGCAGCTTATAAGAAGACAGATTTCCAATGAACTTAACTGTTCCTGCAAGTTTGATTCACAAGTTCTCTACAACGCGCTAGGCACATTTAACAAGTTAGAGCGTTTTTGTTCTTATTTCAATGCAATGTCTGTATTTTGGGATTTCTTTGACTATGGGAAAATTGTTTGGAACTTTTCTAAGTCGAACTTAAAAATTCTTTAGCTAAATTGATGAAAATGTGTTTCGATCCGTTTTCCCGGGTAAAAATATTCGTAAAAAAAGAAAAGGCCTGGTAATGTTGGCCAAGCAGAATTCTGAACACTGAGTCAAAAAGAATTTCCAGCCTCAAGATGGTACGGTGAAAAGCAGAGGTGGTAAGTTATGTGCTTTTTTGACCACATCGTCTTCATAAATCCTTCTCGCTGTCCTTTTTTCAGTGCTCTTTTGCGTGATGTCGAGGCTCATTACCAGGATCCTACTCGGCCATATCCCAACGAAGAAAATCCACTCATGTTTGAGCTGACGTCATATCTTGAGTGGGCTGGAATTCATAATCCCCTGACAAAGGTATGACAAAGCGCCGATCATTCTACTTTTCTTGGCTATCTTTTTTTTCGCTTTGTATGGCTTCTGATTTCGGGTGCAAAGTGATTATCCTAAAGGGCTACCGCTACGTCATTGCCTATTTGTCTTCTAGCGTGTTATTGCTGGCATTAAATTTGCGGCAATATCTATTGTCGTGTACCTATCAAGTATGTTTCATGTTTAAAAACATCGATCGAAAGATATTCGCCTTATGCGTAACAATGGACGGTAAATCTTTGATGTTAACACGCGGTTTGTTCCATAAGGAACCTGGTCGAAGACATGTAATTTCCAATTGGCGTCGTCCGTTTCACGGGAAGTTCTGCATTGACGTGAATAAGGCGGATCTAAGAGTAATGAGGCGCGGTAACCTAGTGGGTAAGGCGTCGGACGTGAGATCCAGGGAACCTTGCTGGAGCTTAGAGAAGAAAATTTGCTTCATGTTGTCTCTCTTCAAAATGAGTACTGGATAAAAGCTGCTACAGAGAACACTGTGGTGAACTTGTGTCCCTTGTAGTGGATATTACCTCCTAATCAGACATTTTTTTTGCTCGACACGCAAACACCAATCACAGCGCACTTCCAAACTAAGGAAGGGTGTACTTTGAACCGTGAGAAATTTCGCGCGAGACTCCACTAACAAGCCTGACGGAAGCTAGTGTGGCCTTTCAACAAGGGTGTGACACCATAAAAAAATCGTCGATTTAAGTGCTTATCAACGACAGGTTACAGGGTACTTCGTGGGTAAGAAGAAGGATTCGACTGGGTTCGACAAGTCACCTAACATTACGCATTGCTTTTCCGTTTTACAGATTTATATTACTACAAAGAAGTATCCATTTTTCGCGCTGCTCAACTTTTTGTGTGTGATTGCACAGATGTCAAAGCTGGTGTATGTGAAGAGTGTTGGTAAGAACCTCTAGATCTTTCTTGTATTTTCAAGCAATTTCCATTTGTCTGACTGTTGGACATCTACAGCGGTCTTGTCACAATTTTAAACCAAGACATATAACTCAATTGCTAACTGACAGACAATCATTCATAGTTTCTTTTCCTTCTCTGCTGGCTTCTATCAATAGGCCAAGTTACAGTTGTATGCTAAGGTACCTAGCCTCCGAGTGGAAGGGAGGCTGGTGGTGACTCTCTTTTGATAGAAAGCTCAGTTCAGTTCATGTGACATGATACGTTTGAAAACACGGTCGCCTCCAGCCTCGCTTCCACTCAAGGTCAGGATACTTAGTACACAACTGTGCAATGGTCTATTGGTAGTCCTCGTTTCCAAGTTTGAGTGTTAAGCCTTCCATTTGGACAGTTTACTTCCTTGAAAGCCAGGGGAAGGGGGATTGGAGGGGGATTTCTTAGAACTACATTTATTTTTTTCATGATTTTCTTCATCGAGATCAGCCAATTCTTGATGAATTCTTCTTTCAGGTACAATGGTAGCGAGACGTCCGACCGATCAAATCGACAGCGCGCCCTTTGTAGTGGGCATGATAACAGTTCTAAAACAATTCCACTCTGAATACACGGAGCAGTTCCTGGCCTGCTGTGGTCAATACGTGAGGTCCCTTATAGAGGCTACTGCCAACAAGTAAGTGCGTAACACCGGTCATAAACAGCGCCACAAGGAACGTACCCCCCCCCCCCCTTTTCTCGAACTGTACAGGGATCCCTGACAAATTTCCTCATCACATTTCGTTCTTAGGCGGGGCCATGTCATACTAGTATTTAATACAGAAAACCCTATCTTGTATCGCGCTTATCTTACGTTCCTTGTTGTTTTATCATTACGTTTGTATTCTTACTGTTGATTTTTTTTCTGTTTTTATTTTGTAGTGTTAGAAGTAACGAGATTCCTGCCGAAGTTGTAAATCTTTTAGTTTTCCTGGAAGACTTTCTTATGTACAGTCAGCTTCCAAGAAAGGTGCGCTGGATTCTTTTTCTTTATTTAACTTAACCTTATGGTCAGCGTGTTAGACTGAAGTCAAGTATTTTATTGTCTTAATGTGTAGGTATAAAGGTTTAAAAATGCATGCTTTTTTAAGCGAGAAACGATAAGCACAATAAGCTCAGGCAGGGGTTTTAGAGTAACATAGGGTGTGTAATTTAATAGCCTTCCACTTTGTAAATATTTGCTTTTTTTATTTGACATTTTTGTTTATTTTGTTTGCGTTTCTTTTCAGGTTGTGGAGGCTCACATTCCAAGCTACATTTTTGATCAGTTTAGAGTTAATCTCACGTAGATATTTAGCTGAAA